GAGTCATATCGCAATATGTAGTTCAATGTTGAGTCTATTAGACTCAACATTGAACTACATACTTTGGCGTGGTTACTACAAGGAGAATCTAGTTNCGTTTAAACCAGTCATCGCTGGGATTCAAACCCGATTTCACGTCCACTTCTATTTATACCTGCCTAGTTCGATGGATTGTTCACAGTAAACAGTTGACTTGGTATTTGTAACTGCTACATTGTCCCCCTCACACTGTTGCTACTCAGTCCCGATCACACACAACGAGGACCTCAACACACACACATTCGACTGCAAATTACAACACATGGGCGACCACGCCCACAGCCACGATACTAATATAACTCTCACTACCAGCACTCAAAGCCCGGTGATCTTAATACAGCTCTCCCTGCCTCTCGCAAAACAGCAATGAATCAACTAGTGGTATCCAATCATCGAATTCTATCACAGATAAAATTCTGGTGGAGGAGTAATGCAACGTAGCTACACAGCTTTTGAATTGCAATTCACTAGTTATTCTTGACAGATTTGGATTAAGGAGTATGGTTTCAATAATAAAGACCGGAGAGCGATCGACTGTTTGGACATATTTCAAAAGATCATAAATCATTTTAAATATATTAATTCAGTCCGAGGAGTTATCTCTTTTGTGAAATTAAAATATTTCATAACGCAATTTTTAACTTTATGAAATATTTTATTTTCAAGTGAGCTTGCTAAAATAAAGGTAACCGAAAAATTCTGCACTAATAAAAAAAAGCATTATTTTATTTGGCGAGAGAGGTATTAAAAAAAGTATTTGTAGTGTATCTACCACTACAAAAATATAATTCCAATTCACTAGTATATAACACATGTTGACTCGATTATATGGTCAGGTACCTTTTCAGAGGTGAAGGTTGACATTGTCGATAACTACTCACTATCCCCACATTGGTGACCCGGACGTGTTCTGAACACATCTATCTTGAGAGTAACACCCACTTCGATCAGAACAAGCCTATTTTGCTGGATGGACTACTTATAACCGAGTTAACATTTCTAATATACTAGTAAATTGTAATAATATTTTTGTAGTGGTAGATACACTACAGTAGTATTATCAAATATTTTAATAATTCTAAAAAGATATTTTTAAGGATTATAAATCACCAGTCTATTATAACTAGATTTGTATTTATTTACTTCGAGGAGCTTATCTTTCATAAAATTAAATTGTAAAAACTATGGATTTTCAACTTATAGTAATTTTGCTCCATTGCTGTCAGCTTAGACGGCTGCTAGAGATGAACAAAACCTAACAGTTGTAATATTATCTCACGACAGTCATTAAAATAGAATATTATTAATGAAAACCATTATTTAATTTTGTGAAAACAGTTTTAATTTTTATTTTACGAACATATTTCCAAGAATTATGAAAGCATATTATTGACAAAAAATGTTTATTCCATTTGGCGAAAGAACTTTCTGAATTTAGTGTAAGTGGAAAAAACTTTTTTTTAATTATTTATAAACTTATTTCCACTTTTTATTTTTATTTTACAAAATAATTTTCAAATTTTTTTTACGAGCATATTTCCAAGGATTATAAATCACTCGTCTATTGTAAATAGATTTATATTTATTCACTCCGAGAAGCTTATCTTTCGTGAAATTAAATCGTGAAAATAATGCTAACTTTCACGTAAGTGGTGTTACCTATCGCCACTGCATTATACCCGATAACATCCTCGCGAATATCAAATTACTTCGCCAATAATTAGTCACGAACTCAAATGAGTCATATCGCAATATGTAGTTCAATGTTGAGTCTATTAGACTCAACATTGAACTACATACTTTGGCGTGGTTACTACAAGGAGAATCTAGTTGGCTTCTTTTTTTTTTTACTCGATGCAAGTTTTTTTTAATGATCTAGCTGGGTAGACCTCAAGAACAGCATTATCTCAATAACGTAATTGCTTCCTCGTTTAGAAATCATAAAAAAAAAATCTTTCCATCTAACTTTTGATGAAGGAATAAAAACAAAAATTGACCTATGGGGGAGTTCACGCAAGGTTTTCAAACTCGAAACGCGATGATTTCAAGAAAAAGCAAATGACAGAATTTTAATCCCCAAAACTCTTCTATCATAAAAAAAGCTTTTTATCGAAGGTATTCATAGTTAGTGAAAATTCCGGTTGAGATGTAGGTTGTTGAGTTGGAACCGCCATGAATGATTAATTGATTTCAACCCAGGAAGCTATTTAAAAATCTATTTACTTTATGAAAACAACTGGGTTGATTGGTTTGATTAGAAGAAAATTGGTTATTCGATTTAGATTAATAATTTTAAAGAAGGGTTTAAAGATTTTAATTTATTCTCTTTTTTAGGAACTTTATAAAGATTGAGTATAACTATTGTGTGTGTTTATATAGAAAGTTAATGATATGCCACTTAACTTAACAATAATGAAAAGTTTTTTTCTTTGATAGAAATCGTATATTATTTAAGGTTGCGTTATTATTTTTGCTATGTAAAAATGGAGATCGTGCAGACGATATTGAAATAAGCCTTATTTTCTTCCTGCTCTTGAAATTGATGCATTCTTCTTTTAGGCTTAATATATCGTATTTTCGCTCATTTTCATACGTTAATTTTTATGTTGTAGTGTAAATAAATTAAATATTTTATTTAAGTATTTTTTTTTACTGAAATGCTTTGGAAATGTAACCATGAAAAATTATTATTATAATTATTTTTACGAAAAGTTTTATTTTAATTTATTTTAAATTTAAAAAAGAAATCGCTTTATTAAATTTATGAATTATTTAGAACTTCCCAGCTGTAATGTGCGAGGTTGCAAACAAAACTTACAAATATTAAGCTCTCACTGTTTCACTCTTTAAAATAAACGTTACAAAATAAAATATTTAAACCAATAATTAAGATAGTTTATGCATTTCCTCTAAAATTATTTTTAACCCTAGATTGCCTAAGGAAGTCATTTTGACTGCTTTTAATTTCAATTAGAAAAACAATGATGTATATAATGACACAATTTCTTAGAATTTCGTTTCTTTTTGTACAATATATAATTTGTTTTATTGTTAATATTTACTAATAACTTGTTATATAACTGTAAATAATATTAAAAATTTTAAAAATTAATTTTAAACAAATTTATCTACTCATTCACAATCCTGTCATTTTGACTGCTTTCGGGCAATATAGGTATATACTAATTTTCCGTCTTTCTAGTGTTAAAGCTCCTTTATTTGTTTTATGTATCTAAATATCATGTATCTGAAAACCACATAAGAGAAAACAACTACTAGTAAATGCAAGTGTAAACGAAAGCTTGACTTGAATGTTAGCTGGAAAACAATTTGCTCCCTTAAAGATAAATTGATTGATTTTCAATTGACCATTAATATTTTTAGTCAGTTTAACAATTGATTGGTTGTTGAAACGTGGCATTTGTTTACATTAGCAACTGTTTTTTCAATTTTAATTCGAGTAAGCCAAGCCTGTCTAGTATCAATTCTCGTAAATTACACATTCTATATTCCTTCACAGAGATTTTGATTCTTTCACTATATATTGGTTACTTAACACGAACACAGGCACGAAGACATGTAGAACATAAACAAACTAATTATGCATCGAAGTTGCCAGGTACACAAAACAAAAATATATCACGGTTACAGTGAAATACATAAATGAATAATAAATCTAAGTTAGTAAGTAAAAGACGTTGAACGAGGAAAATTATATTTTAACAAATTCGATGTACCACGTTGTATTTGTTTAGCTTCCCATTAATTAACATTTTGACTTATATGGAGAACTTAAGTCGACTTTAGCATGCCTTCTTGTTTATAAATGATCAGCTGGTGTTGAGGTCATAGGTCACGTGCCTGTGTATCAGTGATCGTCTTCTCGAGTTGTAAGAACCCAATTATTAAATATCTGTTTCATAGATTATTTACCTCCATGATGGAACATTGAAAGAAAAACAAATCGATCAAAGTATGACGAAAACAATTGGATATTATGTGGTACATTTTAAAATTCCCCGAAATGAAAGAAATTTCTTTTGAGCTATTTTTTAAAATTAAAATTCAGATAATGTCAGTGCTAAGAAAGTGGTTTTATTAATAGATATTCTAAATCACATTTTCTTAATAATTATATCACTAACGAAGGCATAGACAAAAGGGAAAATAAAAATTTTTTGTAGAGAAAGTATTATTCGACCGAGTGTTCCAAAAACTTAAGGTTACATCCGGTTCTTATATGAACTATAACACCTGACTAACTCTTTTTAATTCAATTTTACGTTCTTTAAAAAAATTTATAGGTTTCTACATTATCCAAATTAAGGGCTTTTCCCCTTGGAAAAGAAAGTTAATGGCTTTTTGGCGAAGAACTCTTTAATTTTTGTGACTTGGAAAAATTAAAATTAGTAAATACAATGCAAATATTTAATGTTAAGCCTTGAATAAAATGTAGTTAAATTAAACATTCAAAACGCAGTATTATTTATTAAAAATACATATTGTAGAAAATATTTTATTTATAGATTTTTAAATCTATGTAAAAGATACATGTTCCGCTTCAGGGCTAAAGAAGGAATTTCGGGGCTCGTGTATCCGTAATTACCTGATTAATACTAGCACCTAATAGTTTTATGTTTATCATCCACCAGTTTAGTCTGGGCTAGCTTTTTATTCTTGCCTCAATACTTATTGGAAAAAATTGTAACCATGTATTTTTATTTATTTATTTTTTATATTTTTATTTTGTTTTGATTCGAACTAAGACTCTGAATTGGAGCTATATTAATGCTTATATACAGTTTCTTGCATAGAATTACATTTCAAATCTTTTATGTAGCATATTTTTAATACAATGTTCAACATAGTTCTAGGTGTGTTTTATGCCTATTTTAAATAAATTGTAAATTGCATTAGAATACCAATAAAAACTATTTACTTATTTATTTTTATACTTTTAGGTCACCATTAAAATCTTGGATATGAATGATAGCCCACCCGTATTCGACAACAATCCCTATCGAGTTAGCCTATCAGAGAATGCCATAGCTGGTCATAACATCATTACAGTCTCAGCAACAGACCCAGACACTGAAGGTAGCCTTACATACATTCTTGTAAATGAAGATGAAACTTTTCGTCTTGATCCACTGACAGGAGATTTGTATTTGAATGAACCATTGGACAGAGAGATTAAAGATTTGCATGAAGTTAGGATCAAAGCTGATGATGGAGTTCAGTTTACAGAAACTACTGTCATCATTGAGGTAAGTTTTTCTTACAGTTGCCTGTAATGGTTGAATGATTTAATCAATGAAAAACCAACAGTGCGGACGTAAAATATCCTTAGTGATGGACGGATGATGGGTTGGAATCCCCTTGCCGTTGAGTAAGGAGTGGAAGTTTACGCGGTTTTCCTCTGCATTTAGTGTGACTGCGGGTTAGTTCCATGAAAAAGTCCTCCACGAAGACTAGTTTGCTTCATGCTTGATCTAGGAGTTTCTTCGTCTTCTAGGTTGGGCTCAAAATTCTAAGGCAATGCGTTAACATTGATAGTTGTAAACTCTGAATCGGGTTTTCTGTTCAAAACAACATAAAACTAGTGAATGAAAAATCAAATGTAGTGGTTCTGTTTATGCGTCTTAACGCGGAAAAGTCATAAAAAATACTGAAAAGACAGAAGAAAAAAAAGAGTTAGTTATCCTTGGTAACTAATAATTTTCCATCTCTGGAAAAAATAGGGCTAGAGCAGATTTTAGTAAGTAAAATTAAACTTAAAAAATATGAAATAAAATAATTTTTGCTAATGGAAAAAAAAACTGAGCAAAAAAGATAAATACTAATACAAGAAAAAGAATATATGAGGACAAATTTAAAACAATTACAGTGATTTCATTTCAGACTGCGGTCACTGAAGAATATTAAGTCAGACTGCTGTCCCTAAATGGGAGATTTATGTTATTTTAAACAGGGACTTGCTTTTAATAAAAGAAGACTTGGATTTCTGACTGTCCTGGGTCCTAAGGATCCGTAGTTTCCAATGTCTAGCAGAACCACTACAAATATCTTGGAAATTTAGAATTTAGTTGAAATTGGATTTTCATTCACTTGTTGTAGTCAATTTGTTTTAAAGCGATATTATATATGAATTGTTCTATAAACAAGAACCTTCCTCAGTGTTTATAGAACTGAAACTAACTATAGTATGTCAATTTATACGTAGCTTAGCTACCTCTACAATTATCCACTTCCAATTCACTAGTATGTAAGACATGTTAACTCAATTTTACCTGGATGTACCTTTAGATAGTTGACAGTTGACATAGTTGGTAGTCGAACCCAACATAACCTTCATGTTTACTTTATATATGTTGTTTTTTGCTTTAGTCTACATAACACAAAATATTACCCTTTCTTTAGTTGTATTTCCTTTTAATATGATTTCAATTTTTCTGTCTATTTATTTGCAATTATAAAAAGTTAACCTTAAAAATGTTCTTAAAACCTGAAAATTTCAGTGTTTTCAAATACAACTTGACGAGTTTGTCTTCATTTATTTTCTTTAAATGGATTTTTTTAATTAATGATATTCTTCTAGATCATTGATTCAAATGACAACTCTCCAACATTCTCCTCCCCTGTCTACTCCTTTGATGTGCCCGAAGGAACTGAAAGAGGAGCTGAAGTAGGTCTTGTGTCCGCCATGGATGTTGATGTCGGTGTGAACAAGCAAATCAGCTATTCTGTTCTCAGCGATTCTGGAAATAATGTTTTTTCACTTAATCCTCAAACCGGAGTATTCACTCTGACATCGCATTTGGATTACGAACAGGTATATTTTTGACATTTCAAACTCTTCTCAATAGAGGCTCCATTTAACCTAATTTTATAGGAGTTTCTTTTAATAAAATGTCTCATCAAGAAAAATAATTAAACTAACCCTTGAAGATCTGCTTGCTCTTGATGATTAATAATATTTTGATTTAATACAAGCAGCAACATTGTGTCACGCTTCTGTTTTTGCTATGATTTACAAAAATTTGGGAAGATACTTACAAGCACTTTTGACTGCTTTATAGATCTTTGAATTTTTAACTGAATGAAATTTTAACAGTGATTTATAATGATTTTATTTATATGCTTTTTTTTATATCTTTTTTTTTATTTATATCTATCATGATTCTCTTAAAATCATTTTAGTTTGTAAAAATTTTATCATGTTGTCTTTCTCTTTTAAATTAACTGTATTTTAATTGCCTTATTTTAAATATATTTATTGATTTTAAGAACTTAAATTTTACCTTACCATTATTATGTATTCTCTTACATAATAAAGGTATGGTAAAATTTATGGCAGCTTATATTCAGCTTTGTTTCACTACTTTATTTATATTTTTATATTTAGTATGTAAACAATTACTTTGATTTTTTTGTTGTGAAAAAAAAGTAATTATAAAATTTTCCTTGTACCATTTAACAATGACAGTATTTTCCGCACTGACTGAGTTACATTAGCGTAGCTGCCAACATTACTGGTTTTTGCCAGTTTCTCCTAGTCTACTGGTTGAATAAATATTCTCCTGGTTTTTGTATATTTTAGAAAATTCCCTAAAATTAGTAAGTTTACTTAGAAAATCCCTATTGAAATAGAATTGTTGTGCAGATTATTGCTTGCTTGAATATTTAAATAAGTGTCACTGATACAAAATGAAGCGAGCCCCATTTATAAAATTCGATTAACCATCTTTGATGAATTAAATGCCTCTTACTATTAAAAAGTATGGATAAACATAATAGATAACATTTCAAGATCATAACTGGAAAATCAATCATAAATGGAAAAAATTGCAAAATTTCTAAATTGATGACTATAAAAATCCCTAAAATTCCCTGTGTGTGAAATATTTAGTATATTTTGCAACAATTATCATGACATTTATATTATTTCTTAAAATCTACTGGATTTTTTTCTGTCTGTGTTGGCAGCTATGCATTAGTTGTAGCTTGCTCTACCATTTAACTGCAATGATTTGGAAACTGATTGCTGTGCCACTCTGTGTCTGCATGACTTCAGCAGCTAAAGTCATCTCTTGACTGTTTTGACTATTCAACTATAGAACCATGTCTGACTTTTCAAATGCACCTTGAAATTATTATTTTTTAATGTTTTACGCAAGATCTTTTAATATTGCAATGAACATTATTTTATGCATGCATTAGTCGATACATATAATAACTTAGTAACTAATGTTTGCTAATTTTTCAGTCATTCTCTTATACTTGCTTATGATTTTCTTTTGATGTTGTCTAATATCTGATATCTTTCATTCCAGACAAAGCATTACATTTTTGTTGTCCAAGCTGAAGATTCTGGGACGCCTAGTTTATCCAGTACTGTGACAGTTTATATAAATGTTTTGGATTTGAATGACAATCGGCCATTATTTGATTTCATGAGCTACAGTGATGAAATCTTTGAGAACATCACTGTCGGAACCAGCATTCTTAGAGTCAGTGCTACAGACATGGACTCAGGTAATTAGCTTTGTTTATTAAATAAATAAATATGCAAATTTGTTATAATATGCAATTTGATTGTTTTAACATATGTACAGTGCCATTTCGGAATTTCACTAAGATTTAGTAAAAAGAGCCTATATTCAGCTTATATATTTTTTAAATTAATTTTCTTAATTTTAATTAAGTTTATTGGTGTAATTTTCAATTTTAAAACTTATACTTACTTATTTTATTATTGTTATTACTTATTTTATTCCAGTATCAGTATATCTTTCCTAGAAATTCTTATTTACTGTTTAAATGGTGTCTTCATTTTAAGAAGACAAAATTTTAAGATCTCATATTATTTTTATTTTGGTCTCATAAAATTTCTATTTTTTATTTTATTTAGTTCTAATAAATTGATCCAAACATTTTAAGGGGCTGTCTACAAATTGTATCACACTGAAAGTGAGGGTGGGGCTCGTGAAGTAGTAACAGTTTATGATCATGATGGGGAGGGAGTAACAAAGGATGTGAAATCACGCATTTGGATTAATCTAAAAAAGATTAAAAACTGCAGATCAAATATTTTGGAATTACTTATTTTTTTAAATATTTTTATGTTTTTTTATTTTCAAAACAAGTACATATACAATTATGTTCTTCTTATATTCCTTATAAATATCTTTAAAACATATAGTAAAAAGTTTTTTTAAACTTAAATTTGAGCTATGAACTCTAAACTCTAATTTTTTTTTTAAAAACTAAATTCTATAATTTTAATATCATTTTACAACCAAATTCCCTTCACTATTTGAATAAATGTTATTATATATATATAATATAATATGATTTGTGATGTATAAAACACAGTAGCATTTAAATTTTGTTTATGTTTTACAATGATTTTGATCTGTTTCTTTGAAAAATCATTTTGAGACTAAGCAAAATTAAAAATTCAAAAGTAGTAGGGATCTGTACCATTTGCTATCCCTTAACTTATATGGTAAATTTTGTTTTAAAAAGTATATGCTAAGCATGGCTATTGTATTGAATGCCATTGAAAAAATCTCTTTGTTGAGTAAGGAAGCAACCAGGCCTTGCTACATGAACCAGTACAAAATATAGTTAACAGAAATACAAAATATAGTTAAATATAATCTTTTAAATATTTTGGCATCTGGTATTACATTTTACGATAGTGGCTTTTTCAAATTCAAAAGTTCAGAGCAGAAATTGTGCGTATATTAATTATTTTTGCTCTGAAATTTTTCTACTTTTAATGATAAAGTGTGAAACTTATATAAAAACATGAAGTTTTTATTTAATCTTTAAATTAAAGTTGAAAAAAAATGTTTGATGTACAATTGAAAATTTGTTTATTTTCAGGTGATAACGGATGCATTGCTTACAGCATAATAGGTGGAAATGATGACAACAAATTCGCCATACATAGTCAGCATGGTAATATTTACACCGTGGATGAATTAGATAGAGAAACTCAATCTTTCTACAGTTTAATCATTAAAGCCACCGATCAAGCTCCTGATATTGAAAAACGGCTCTTCAGTACTGTGCAAGTCAGCGTCATTTTGAAAGATGTCAATGACATGGCGCCTGAATTCTCTCCCAACGAGACATCAATACCTGAAAATGTACCAATAAATACAATTGTGATGGCCATAAAAGCCATCGATAAAGACGAGGGAAAAAATAGCTACATTGAGTATGGTCTAGCCCATTCCAGCAGCAAATTTACTCTAGGTCCCGTAGACGGATTGCTCCGTGTGGTCGGATCTTTAGACCGAGAAGAAGTATCTGAGTACAAGGTCATCGTTGTCGCTAAAGACCGTGGCGATCCTCCTCAAACAACCATGAGGGAAATTACTATTCACGTAACAGATGAGAATGATAACAGCCCTTCCTTTCTGCAAAAACAATACAATGCTACTGTATCTGAAAATGCTAGTTTAGGCCTAAGCGTTGTTCAAGTTTTTGCTACAGATGAAGATGAGGATTTAAACGCTCAAATTAGATATTCCATCATAGCGGGTGATATGAATCACGATTTTATTATTGATGAAGATACTGGCATCATTAGAATTAATAAGAATCTTGACTTTGAGCGGAAGAATTTGTATTCACTAACTATTCAGGCCGAGGATGGAGGCGTCGACGTCAAACATGACACGGCCTCGGTTGTCATTACTATTACTGACATGAATGACAACACGTGTGTGTTTCATGATTCACCTTATTTGGTTCACGTTATGGAAAATATTTTGTCACTTCCTGTTTCTCTTATAGTCATCAAAGCTCATGATAATGATAAAATTTCTGAGTTGCAATATCGAATTAAAGACGGCAATAGGACAATTTTCTCTATTGATTCAAACTCTGGTGAACTCACTATTCAAAAGTCTCTGGATCGAGAAGCACAATCTGAATACTCTCTCACTATTGTTTGTATAGATTCAGGTAAGTACAAATTTCATGCAATTAAATTTAAAATGCATCATTTATTATAATAAAAAATTATCAAAAAAGTTGATGAAGTTTAATATATTGTATATTTAAAAACAATTTCTATTACATTTATGAGTTTATTTCTTCTGACTTGCGTATTTCCAGATATGCATGATATATACAAAGGCATAAATGTCGTTTTTGGGAAATTTGTCACTAGCACAGAAAGTTCTTTAAAGTTACACTCGTATAAAAATAAAGGAAGACCAAAATTTCCATATTCTACGCATGCAACAACAGAAAAACAATAAGAAGTTTATTCAAATCAGTTAGTCACAAGTTAAATCAATAACAAGTTTTATATTTCCAAAAAACTGTTATATTTAAGAAATATATGCCGATATGTATATATATAATAAATAATCAGTATAGAATTTAATAAAAATTAAAATACTTTTAAAAAAAAATGGTGATTTTCGAACAAATTTTGTCAAAATTAGGCGGTGACAAAAGGTTGAAACTAGTTACAAAAGTCAATGAATTGCTTGTTGCAGAGATGATTGTGCTCCGGAAAAAATCCAGATTTCTGGATTTTTCGCTGACCACTATCCGAAAGTTTATGGGGGTCCAAGGTCCAGAGGTTTAAAAAAAATCGTCGATCCCATTTATGTATAAAAATTCTTGTATATTTTATGTAAAAATATTAGAACTAGAATTTATACTGGGCGTCTCTTTCATTTGTAAATATTTGTTTGGTAGAATAATAAATGTGATTAGAGATAAAAGTAAACTTACACATAATTATTCATTTAAATTATGCTGCATATAATTTATTTAGAGTTTCATGTTCTGAAATTATCAATGAATTAAATTTATAAAGACATAAGTTTTTTGAAATGGGTTATTAATGATTTTACTGAAGAAATTTTCAGGATTTTTTAGTTGGACTCACAATCACCCCTGTTGTTGAAAGTTTTTTAATTTCTAAGAAAAATTGCTTTTGCTCCTATAATTTAAAGTTTGTGGTCCCAGAAGCGACACAAAAGGGCAGAATAATGCGAGCTCTTCTAAGCAGCCTGCATGACCTGATAGGAATTTAAATAAAAATATGTGTGGTTCTCAATATGTTAAGCATGTAACCTGTTCAAAAGACTGTTTATTGTTCTGGACTGTTATTTTGATCTGATCTATCAATTTAATTTCAGGATCACCAAGACTAACTGGTACTGGGACGGTCAAAGTTATAGTGGATGATATCAATGACAATGAACCAGAATTTCTGTATAGAGAGTATATTTTGTCCGCATCTATAAAAGAAAACTTACCACCTCTTTCACATATTATAAAAGTGTCTGCATCAGACAGAGATATTGGAAGAAATGCTCAAATTAAGTATGTTAAATTTTCGTTACAGCCAATATTGTACCAAAAAAAAAAATAAAGAACCACTCTTTAAGAGTATTTAGCTTTATTGTGCGACTTTGAGGAGAACTCCAACTCCAGACTAAAAGTCTGGGGCTATCTGCTGCTATGGTTACAAGATAGAGCACATTTCTAAAGGGGGTGCAATGGAGGAATGAAGGTGTTTACTCATGCTGACCTGTGCAAAGATCAAAACTATTCACCCTACACCCCTATTCGAAGTGGCTTTTCCTCGTAACCATGGTACCTGCCACGGCGCGAGACTGATGTCTGGAGGAGTTCTCCTGAAAGCTGCACTGTACGTAGCTCTCCTTACCAAGGAAAATAAAAAGCTACGGTTTGAGTTCCTGCAAATCAAAGCAAAGTTTTTTTCAAACAAAGGCAAATTATATTTGCTATATTACAGGAAAATTTTATCAAAGCAAACAAATCATTCAAGCAAATAATTAATTTATACAAGTAATATTCACTGCTATACTTCATAATTTTTTTTTTTTTTTTTTTTTTTTTTTTTTTTTTTTGCAGCCTACTACAAATTTAATTTTAGTAAGCAATACTGCTATGTGAAATAATTGAATAATGTTTAATTACTTTTGATTTTCTTATTGCTATTTAAAAAATTGTGATATTCATAGCCTATACTGCATTGCATTGTTATACAGATATTTTTTTAAATTATGTACTTTTATTTCACATATTTTCTTTATTTTTGTTTGTAGTATAACTGATAAATGTAATTAAAATTTTGTAATCATATAACAATAATAAACAGTTATTACTACTAAATTGGTGATAATTATTTCATATAATTATATATTTTTAATATTTTTACTCACATAATGATATATAATCCAATAGAATAATAATAATAGAGTTATATTGATCCAATTTGTGATAGATTAATATTTGCAGTTTAAACTAATTATTGTAATTTTTATTATGTTGACCTTTTAATTTTTTAACAGTAAATTCAACTTACAAATTGTAGAGCATTTTTGGAAATGTAGGTTTAATGTGCTATCTGATGTAAAAGCTAATTTGTAGTGTTATTTGTATTTTCTTGTTAAAATAAAATAGACATTAATTTGATTTTAAACTGTTACAGATACAGCCTGATGGGAGATTCTGAAAAATTTAGCATTGATTCAAGCACAGGAATCATCAGTAGCAATGAAATTTTAGATCGCGAAGAAAAAGATCGTTATAGCCTTCTTCTCGTGGCTGAAGACATGGGACTAATCAATCAATACAAATCAGTAATGAATGTGTCTATATCTGTCGAGGACGAAAACGACAATACTCCAGAGTTTGCTGAATCAAATTACAGAGTTTATATTCCTGACACAGCGATCGGAGGTATATTTAACATTATTGTTATATTTAATAAATAATATCTTTCATTTCTAATGGCAAGATTAAGAGACAAATATAGAATAAGAGAAGCAGATTAGGGCTAGTTTATGTATTCAAAAGACCCCTGGCCTCCCAGTAGTGTTCCATAAGAGAACGTTGGGTCAAAGTTCGGCAAAGGATGAGATGGTGATTATTCGTGACCTGTCCCAGACTACAGACAGAAACAATGGAAGTGTTTTTGGAGACAGCCATGGCCAGCGGAGATAATTTGTCCTTCCAAAACTTTTGTTCTAAAAGAAAGGATCTTTTTAAATTCCTCAGATATGTTTTTTTTTATTAATCCTTTTATTGTTCCTGTCAGGACTCTGATTCCAATGGGGCTGCAGAAATAAAATCCAGAACTGTGTTTTTATTTCTAGAGCCCTATTGCTTCTTTCTCCTTCATCTAAACTCTATCAGCAATCATGTCTGTAATGCAAATTATTTCTCACAAAAGAGTTAGTTTCTTTTAACTCTTCTCTCCCCAACTGTAGAAGAATGACACTTCCCGCATCCCTCACCCTCTGACCATTTGGTCAGGGATCATTCAGATGCGTGGGAGTGGAATCAGAATCTTGACAGTTCTTAAAGAAATGTCTCTTGAAAGAAATGTCTGTAGAGTTCTAGACACCCTTTTTGGTCAGTGAATTGGAAATCTGATTGCCATGGATTTCACAACGCCCAAAAATATACTTTAAGAAAATGTGCTTTTTGTTGACATATAAGCTTTGTAACAGTCATGGATATTCAAAGGCCATGAAAGACAAATTAATGAAATGTTATATTAGTAGATTATTGTTTTAATTGATTTTATCCTAATATGTTTCTTATTACAGTACAGAACCAGTTATCCGGAATTCAGGAAACCGGAAAACCAAAAAACCGGAACAAAATTCGATAAATTTTCCCGCAATTAAAAAAAAAAATTTTTTTTTCCTCATAAGATTTTAGGAAATTATCTTTCTTTTTTGAAAGATGTTTAATTTACCATTATTTTGGAAATAATCATTAGTGTATTACTTAATCGTTTTTTCTTCTTTTTAAGATTACTTACAAATAATTTTCNTCCAGGGTTTAACACTAAAAAAACGGCTTTTTGTAGCGATTCAGAAAACCGGAAAAATCAGTTATCCGGAATAGCGATAGTCCCGATCGTTCCGGATAATCAGTTCTCTACTGTATAATGATTTTTTTCTTATTATAATCAATTAGAAATTCTTTTTGTATAAATTAAGACTTGATTGGTGTAACATTATTTATAGCAAATTAATTTTGGTAATTGTAGAATTTCAATATTGTTTTATTTTTTATTATAATTATTTAGTATGTTAAATTAATAATTATAATTATAACAGTAATATTACTTAGTATGCTGTAGAGTTGTGGTAAATGTTGAATTTCAATATTGTTTTATTTTTTATTATAATTATACGTTAAAAAGAAAGGCACTTTTAAAATCACAACAATTTCTTTTTGACACCTTATTTGCATGTCAAACAAATAATAATAAAAAGAAAGTTGTTAACCAAAAGTTATTCACACAACAAAATATTAAATTTTGTATTTAATTTTGTTTTTATGTAGGTTAAGGCACCATTTGCTATGAAAATATCATTAATTATGAGTTAAAAATTTAAGCTGTAACTTAGTGGGATTGATAAGTAGCAGCAGACAAAAAACATTCTGTTGCTTAATTAATATTCTATAATATAAATTTGCTGTATAATAAATTTTAAAATATGCACTTGATTATATAGTATTTATATAAGTAAAAATAATTTTTACCCAATGGGGTATGGAGAAATAGATTTCTTTTTTTTTTTTTTTTTTTTTTTTTTTTTTTTTTTTTGTCTTTTTCAATGTATTTTATGCTCCAAAAAGCTACCACATGATTTTGATCTCTACTAGCAAAATTTGTAAATACGGTCGAAAATACTTATAATACTTTGTGCTGTATAGAATTTTGTGTTAAATAGATTTTTTCACATATTGTTAAATTTGCCAACTAAACATGGAAATATAAATCTGAAACAGATCAATATTTATATTTAAAAATAATTTTTAAATAACAAAATACTTTAAAACACAGAAATATTTGCTGAAGTATTTATAATTTACGAAAAAATTTTTAACTATTAAGAACATTATAAATAAAATGCAACAAAGATATCAATTTTGATTTGCTTTTAAGACTGTTAAGTAAAATAGTTTATGGAGAATTATAATTTATAGAATTGTGGCATATAGATCTACCATTGTTTCTTACTTTGCTGAAAAGAAAATTTGTGACATAATTGACTAAAAAAATAAAAGTTTTTGATGTAGAATAATTTACATGTATTTTATTTATTACAGCTCATTTCGTTTTTGGAGCCATTGCTAGTGACAGAGACGCTGGAATGAACAGCAAATTGGTGTATCACTTATCAGGCACAGATGCTGACAAGTTTCAAATTAATCAAGATACAGGCATTGTAAAACTTGTGGAAAAATTGGTAAACAAATCTGAAGGATATGAACTTGAAATTCATGCTACTGATTCTGGCCAAACTCCTTTATCAACAACAACATCTGTAACAGTGTACACTCAAAAGCAGGCTTTGTTTCCCCGATTTCACCCCGGTTTGAGGAATTTCAAGTTTGCAGAGTCAACCGAGAATATTATTGTCACACGGGTATCTGCTCTATCACCAAAAAATGGTGACATGGGCAAAATTAAATATTATATAGCAGGTGGTAATTTTGGAAACTCATTCACTGTTAACCATCTTGGTGAAGTTAGACTCGTTGGGGGATTAGATCGTGAAACTATATCTTCATATGAACTGTGGATTGGGGCATCAGATAGTGACATACCCTCTTTAGCTAGTGCAATAAAACTGGAAATTCTTGTTACTGATGTCAATGATAATGCACCAGTATTTGAAAGTCCAGTGTACAATGCGACTGTCAAAGAAGAGTTGGAACCACCATTATTTGTCATACAAGTTCAGGCGTCAGATGCCGATTTCGGCGTGAATGGCAATGTAGAATATAGTTTTGAATCTGAGAGTGAGGTACCTTTTTCGTTGGATTCAAAAACTGGGAAAATATTTACGACTGATGTACTCGACAGAGAAACAATAGACGAATACAAAATTGTCATCAAAGCTGTTGATCAAGGAAATCCACAAAAAACAAGCTCTGCCACTTTGTATATTAAAGTCCTCGACAAAAACGACAATCCTCCACGATTCACCAGATTGTTTACCGCAAATGTTACAGAAGATGCCCCTATCGGCAGTTTCGTAATTCAAGTTACCTCGTCTGATCGAGATATCAACGAAAACGCAAATGCAACATACAGTTTTTCCCAAAATCCTGGATCAAAATTTGTCATTGATCCATTATCTGGCAATGTTACTGTTGCTGGTGTAATTGACAGAGAAATCAGAGACGAGTATTTGTTGAAAGTATCAGCTGTTGACGGTTCTTGGAAAGCCGAGACGCCCTTGACCGTTCTTGTTCAAGATGTCAACGACAATGTTCCAGAATTCAAATTACCGGAGTACACATTCAACATTCCAGAACTCATGGAGGGAATTTCCTTCATCGGCCAAGTGACTGCGACTGATTCTGATAAAAAGGGTCCGAATTCTTTTATAAGTTATTCTCTAAAAAGGCCATCTGATTTATTTCGTATAGATAGAAATGGCAACATCATTAGCAATAAAAGAACTTTAAAAGGATCACCAGAGAATCGGCACATGATACAGGTGGTGGCAACAGATCATGGGAATCCTCCTCTGAGTAGTGAAGTTACAGTCTTTATAAATGTAATTGATTCCAATAACAATGATCCGGTTTTCCAGAAAGATTCCTATTTTTCTCCTGTTCCTGAAACTGCATCTATAGGTCTTCCTGTACTTCAAATAACAGCTGAAGACAAAGAAGATATTGGGATAAATGGTGAAATAGAATACAAGATAGTTGGAGGAAATGGATCAGATTATTTTGCTGTGCACAAGAAAACAGGTAAATGACTTTAAAGTATTTCTGATTTTAATATCAATGACTTATTAAAACTGCATTAGTTTTATTCAGGTTTTCAAATTAACCTAGTTTTCAGTTAAAAATTATTACCTTCATTGAACTTTTAAACAATGCATCAATCCCTCCCAGACTGGCAAAAGGAAAGAAAAGCCTTTCCCCAAGTCCGTGTGTTCCAAAAGTATACTTACTAAAGAGTATGTATACACTATATGCACACTAATACGAGTTGTAATAGGAGTATATTGAATTGAAATCACGTCTCCATAACTTAGGGCCCCTAGAGTCGAAAAGACTTTTTCTATATATGATACTGTGAGACGTGAAGATAGAATCACATGTTAACGTTCCTGATATCTGAGGAGGTTATGGCATGATTTATATATTATGGTATGATATTGTAATATTACGTGAATATTAATCCATTGAATTTTATTAATTCTAGTAGAGAATGGCGTAGGTATTATGTATGCTAATACTTCATATAATGGTTATTTCATTTCATGAATCATTGTATTTCTGAACTATTTTAATGTACTAATTTTATTTGACCAATCATTGAATATTTAATATTTTTTCTTGCAATATCCAAGTCTTACAAATCACATTTTTAAAAACCAAGGATTACATATTCATGATTTGCATTCAATTTATGTTTTGTTAATTATGAATTTTTAACAAAGAAGTTAGTTATTGATTCAGCAAATATAATTCATTATATAAATTTTCTGTTTTAATATAAATGTTCAAAGTAGAAAATAGTTGTATAAAATGTATTGCTTATGCAAACAACCAATTTATAAATAAATAAATATGAGACATAAATGGTAGTAATTTTGTTGTTCAAAACTCAAGCTACTTTATGATGAATAACATGGTTCAAGTAAATAAATTTTTTCTGTTTATCAAGGTTGGATCACTGTCTTGAGTCCTTTGACTGGATTGAAGAATAAATGGTTTTCCATCGTTTCTCAAGCAGTGGACAAAGGAATACCCCCTAGATCAGCTGACGTGTCTGTCAATTTTGCTGTCACTGGTGAAAACATCTTTGCACCTGCATTCTCAGCTTTGAGTTATCAAGTTGTAATTCCTGAAAATGAACCTCTTCTTTCTGAAATTGTCACAGTGACTGCTACCGATGAAGATGAGGGTAAGATCTTCCTCTAAAAATAAATTTAACTCAATTACGAATTGTAAAGGATATTAGATTTTCTCATTGTCTGCAATGCACTTAAGATTCACTGTGTACAATATATTCTCTGTGATTTCTGTGTACTTTTCTATTTTTTTATTCTGTGTTGTTCTAAATTTGTATTATAATTGAAGAATATATAGATGTATTAAATTAATTATTATATTTAATGCAAAAATCTACATTCTTTTATTTTTTTATAAATGTTTTAAACACATATTGTACATAAATTTTAAAGACCTTTTGCTTATTCTATTAAAATTATTAAATTTATATTTCTGTACTGGATTTGCATAAAAAATTAAGTTTGTTAGCAATAAGTGAATAAGGGCGTTTTTAGAGTAAAATTTATATTTATTACTAAAAATATAGTCCATTTTTAAAGTGTTAATATTTTTAGATAATTTTTACCAAATTATTATTATTATTCCTATTCTTAGGTCATCACTTAGTAAATGATAACTACTATTGTTTAGCGTTTAATACACTTTGCTAAAATGAAGGAAAAAATTAAATTTTAAAATAATTTTTTTTTCATAAAATATTGGCGATCGAAATGGGCTACAGGTGGCGTAGAGCAGAACTCTCTACCTATGGCAACACTTCGCATGCTTTCACCATTAGCGTGTGGAAAGTCGTAGAAGAAGGAAGTACGTTAGTTTCTGTCGTGATTTTTATATAGATTAAAATTTTTTAAGTTGGGAAACTATATGGAACTCTAAAAGATAGCATCATGGAAATTTTAAAAAATATTTTTGTTAATTAAAAACGAAAATTATTAAGAAAAGGAAAAATATCGTGGTACATTCCTATATGACTAAAAAGAGGAGGAGAGGGAAGGGAGAAAGCCAAAGGCATGGAACCAGTCTTCTCCCCAGATGGCGTATTCGAGCATTGAGATTGGCAATATCATATTTACAATTTTCTTGTTTACAATTTGCAGAATTCATATTTACTGGTCTTTTTATTTTATTTTCAGGGTATAATGGTGAGATCATTTATTCAATCAGTACTGGAAATCAAGATGATCAGTTTTATATTTCACCAACCAGTGGAGCAATAAGGATAGCTAAGCATTTGGACTTTGAAAGTGTCACCACCTATCATTTAAGCATACTGGCATCTGATCGTGGTTTTGAGAGCAAAAATTCCACAGCAGTGTTGACAGTCCTAGTCACGGATGTAAATGACAATCCACCAATCTTCAATGCATCTAGTTTCAATGCCTATATATTTGAGAACGAATCTCCTGGTAGCTTTGTGACACAACTAATTGCATTTGATGCCGATTCTGTTAGAAATGGCGTCATTGAGTATTCAATTATAGAAGGCGATGACTTCAGCTTGTTTCAAATCGATCCCAAGACTGGGATTGTTACATCCAAAGTCTCATTTGATTATGAAGAAAAGACAAAATACATGATTGAAGTGATAGCGAGCAACACTGGCACTTTTTTGTTTACATCAACGGCTCTGCACATTAATGTTAAAGGCAAAAATGAATATTACCCCCATTTTATTCAACCAGTGTTTCAGTTCGCCGTGAGCGAGTCGGCTGGAGTGGGCACTACAATTGGTCAGTTGCAAGCCATCGATGAAGATAGTGGGGAAGATGGCGACATTTACTTTCTACTAGTTGGCAGCAATGTAAATAAGGGTTTCCAAGTTGACACAAAAAATGGAAGCATCAAAGTATCCAGGATACTGGATCGGGAGTCTCAATCTCGGGTTGTGCTTACAGTCCTGGCCAAAAACTTTGGAAGCATACGAGGAAACGATACGGACGAGGCTCAAATTGTCATCAGCATACAAGATGGCAACGATCCTCCCGTCTTTTCGAAGGATGTTTATGAAGCAAGAGTGTCTGAAGCGGCCCTTTTGGGAACGACAGTCGTTTCTGTATCGGCAGTCGATAAAGATGTCCATCCTAATAACAACCAATTCTCGTTTTCTATACTGTCGGGAAATGTCGATAAATCCTTTAGTATAGACCCTCAAACCGGGACAATTTACACCTCTGGAGTTCTTGACAGAGAATTGTATTCTCTGTATAATTTGACTGTAACTGCAACTGACAGTGGAAACCCACCACAAACTGGATCAACCTTTGTTAAAATTTACATAGATGACGTGAACGATAACGGCCCTTCGTTTGATTCAGAAAAAACTTTTGGGTATATATTAGAAAACGAACCTCCTTATTCGAGTGTCATGGTTCTTAGTGTGACCGATGATGATTTGCCTCCAAATGGTGCGCCATTTAGGTTTGCACTTGTTGGGGGAGAACATAAAGATTTTTTCGATATTGACCCAATATCGGGATTAGTCAAAACAACCAGGAGCCTTGATAGAGAAATTTTGCCAGAACTTGATATTATAGTGGAAATAAAAGATAGTGGAAAACCTCCAATAAGCACCAAAAATCCTCTTAGGATTTCTGTACTTGATAAGAATGATAATCCCTCAACACCAAGACCCCTTACAGTTTTGGTTTGGGTGCATAACAGAAGATTCCCTGGTGGTAAAATTGCTGACATCAGACCCTTAGATTTGGACATAATTGGTCAATATCACTGCGAAATTACTGAGGGCAATAGTGCTTTGTTCAGAGTTCCTAAGAACTGTGATTTATATGCTGCGAAATTAGATAACCCTGCAGGAAGCTACACGTTGAATGTAACAGGAAATGATGGCATTCACAAGAACCAGTCTTCTATTATTAAAGTGAAATTCCTGAATTTTGATAATTCTACCTTGCAGAATAGTGTCTCTTTACGAGTGTTTAATTTTTCTGCTGATGTTTTTCTGAGGGTACATTTTGACAATTTCTTGCGTATTTTAGAAGATATCTTTCAGGTAAGTTTTCTTAATTTTTAAAATAAACTTCAATTTAATTTGGTTAAATTTACATATAGTTTCTTAAATGACATTTTATCATTAATTAGTGTAGTAGTTTATCAGTAGTTTAATAGTGTAGTAGTAGTATCATTATTAGTGTAGTAGTGGTCCAGGAAAGAATTGTTGATGAACGGGGATTCTTACTTTGATTGTGTCAGTCAAATTTCTCTTATTTCCACTGATGTGAAATCACATTGGTTGAATAATATTACTTTTATCGTAATTACTAAGTAAACTTTAATGAATTATTATCATCATTAAACTTTTCTTTCCAATTCTTTATCGTCCTGTTAAATAAAAATTCCATTGAAAATATGCAGTATGTTCAATTGGATACTTGCCCCCTTGAATAACTTTTCAATTAGAAATCGCTGAAAAGCATAAATTTTGTTTTGGAAGGCAATATTTAAATACTCACTCTAATCAACTGGGGAACTTTTCTCCTCTACAATAAATTAGGTGGTGGTCCATGAATATTTTCTGCTTGTTGGTTCTTGAGAATCAAAAGATTGGTGACCGCTGTCCTGAATTATGAATTAATTTAATTTTATTTCACAATTAAATTGTTTTTGACTTCAAATGGGAATCAAAAATTTTAAAAACTTCTTTTGAACCAAAGTGAATTATTAATTATGATATCAGCTCTAGATCGTCATGAACAAGATATTATTAATTAGAAAAGACACTACTATATTTAGAGAAAATAGCTGTTCAGTCATCTGTTGCCTAGTAATAGATTTGCCATGGACTGGGAAAGTCAATGAATTTTAGTTACCTAGTAACAAAAATGAGTTCGATAAAATTATCCCTGATTTATTGACGAAGTATCTTGTGCAGAAGCATTTAAAAAATTTAAATTGTCAAAATTTATATGCTATATCGGCAAATAAAAAGTTAATTTTAATCTGCATACAAAAAATAATAAAAATAAAAAAACTAACAAGATTTGGATTTGTTTCAATCTCATATTTTACCCCATTTTGAAATTTCTAACTCATTTGTAAAACGAAGAATATATTATAATGCTTACTATTTTCATTCATTTTTATTTCCTTCTTTAATTTTTGCGTTTTTGTTTCCCCCAAATGTAATAATTTCATACACTGTCTTTATTTTTTAAGGTTCCTAACATTTATAAAAATTACTTGTTTATTTTTATAAATGTAAGTTATGTAGTTCAATTTTCTAAAAACTGTTACATAAATGTAATATATTTAAGAGAAAATATTTTTTAAAAAAGAGCTTTTTATTTTTATGACTTTTAATCAAGATTTAAATGTCATTATTCAACTTAAATGTCAATTTCTAAAATTTAAGATTGTGAGATGGTTAATATATTGACATTGTCTTTTTTGTTAAAGTCTCCATGTTTTTTTTATGAATGCTTTTAACTTTACTATTTTTATTTGTAGCCCACAAGAGGTGGAAGTGAACCAGTTGTATACAGCATAGTCAACATTGAAGAACATTTAGAAATAACTCTTGCATCAAGAGTATCCGAGAACCGATATATGCCTCCTCAAGATTTATTTATTTTGATGAACACAAAACTACCATTCATTCAAGACATCATTAAAGAAAACATAGTTATTGATTATGATCCCTGTAAAAGCGAACCGTGCCAAAGTAACGGTATTTGCAGCAGTTTCTTAGAAATGAAAAATTCCTTATCCATTGTTGACTCTCCATCATTGATTTTTACTTCTCCTTATGTTGCTCGCCAATTTGCTTGCAAATGTCCGGAAGGGTTCTCTGGCTCTGTGTGTCAGTATCAGCAAGATCCGTGTTTGCCCAATCCTTGCTTGTTTGGTGGTATCTGTCATCCTGACGGTGCTTCTTTCCGTTGCGTGTGCATTACTCAGTATGAAGGTGAAAGATGTGACCTACCTCGAAAAGAATCTTGTGCGAGTGCACCGTGCAAGAATGGTGGAACCTGCCAAGAAGCACCAAATGGTGGTTTCTTCTGTTTATGCAGACCGGGCTTCAAGGGATTAGTTTGCGAACAAACTGCTGATGCTTGCAGACCAAATCGTTGTCTGAATGGTGGAACTTGCATGAGTGAAAATTTAGGTAAGTTGCAATAATACATTTTGATGATCATCAAAATATTATAATAGCTTTTTTTTTATTTGTTTAATTTCAATTTTTCTTCTAGCTTTAGAAAAAAATTAATTTTATACACATTAGGGGATCAAGGTTAATTCAACCACGTCTTTAAGAAAAATTTTTTTTTCCAACCTTGTATATGTATTCATATATCGCAAGTGTGTGTGCAATAATATTATAAATTTTACAATTAATAATAATACTAGAGTAATTTACACAAAACTATGATATATTTTAATTAGAAATAGGTAACTAACAGGAAAATTGTTGATAACACAACTTGTTTTTAATGTTAATCTGTATAAAAGTGCTATTTAAAATTTTACATTAAAGGTGTTAATTGTACTGTACCATATATCCTGTTGTATAAGTAGACTTTTCAAACCTTCAAAATTTTTTGAAATTCGGGGCGTCTATTTGTACACCAGTAGTAATGTCCGGCAATCCTTGATGGTGAAATCTGGGCACATTATGAACAATGAGATAGATATGAATTACTCTGCATCAATTTACCCCTATTCTTTCAAAACTTATTTTTAATATAAATCATTTTGCGGAAACTAGTGAAGATGTGCAGCGGAGTACCCATTTAATAAGACCACCTCCGTAATGGTTCCTATTACCATTTATATATCAAACTTACCATTAACATTCATATAGTAAACTATACACTAATTAACCTGTGGTATAACTGCTACTGTAATTATTAAATACCAATTCACTAGTATATTGGACTTGTTAACTTTATCCTGTGTACCTTTTGATAAATGAAGGTTGACATCGTCAATAATTAAATCCTCACGTTTATGTTCTCCAGACGTGATATGAACTCGCCAACATTGATGAATGGTCCACATTTATCAGCTGAATTGCTCACAAAATAGCACTAAAAAATCCGGTGAAGTAAACCCCCTTCTCTCAGCCAATAACGAAAAATGAAGGAAAAAGAAATAAAATAAAAATAAAAATATTATGAGTAAAAAAATAAATAAATAAACAGCATTAATCAACTAGTAGTATTCGTTCATTGAATTCTATGACAAACAAAATTCTGGAAGGGGAGTAATGGAGCGTAACTTCCACTGCAAATATTAAATACCAATTCACTAGTATATTAGACTTGTTAACTTGATTCTATATAGGAGTACCTTTTGAGAGATGAAGTTTGACACAGTCAATAATTATATCCCCACAAACCTAAATAAACTATTTCATCAGAGTGCAAAATTTCCACTGGCCAGCTCGCCATTGGCGATCAAATATTTAAAACTGGCAAGTAAGTTTTTTCGTTTAAAAGTTGAGTTAATTGGTGTGTTTTAAAATCTAGTGACAAAATTTTTCTTCTATTTTGAGGAACAATGCTGAGTTACCCATATTTTACCCATAAAACCTTTGTTCCTGGAGACAAAATAACTATATGCTCCTAGTATTAATTTTTATTATATGTTGTTTATTTGTCAGCATGAAAATAACTCTTCTGTATTTATTGCATTGCATTCATTGCATTGTAATATTGCATAATATCTTTCTCTCCAATTTAATCCTTTATTTTATATTTAGGTTACCACTGTTTGTGTACCTCTAATTATTTTGGAAAGCATTGTGAGAAGTCATCTTTTGGATTCCATCCATTTTCGTACATGGCTTTTAATTCTCTGCAACCAACAACAAATGACATATCAATTGTGTTTTCGACAAATAACCCCAATTCCCTATTGGTGTATAACTTTGGTGCTCAAACTGGTGGTCGGTCTGATTTTCTTGCTTTAGAAATAGTTAACGCCATACCAGTTGTATCTTTCGGAGGTTCAAGAACTGCAATTACTAGAATATCTGCTAACATGATAGTTTCTGATGGAAAGTGGCACAAAGTAACTGTTATTCGAAATGGAAAGGTAACTTTTTAAAAATAACCTTTGTTTTACAAAAGTTATAGTTTTTAATTTATCATTATTCATTTATTTTACAGTGGTCAGAAAAATTGCATTATTTTCAATATATCAACTTCAAATATATTTTTTAAATATGGTGATTACTAACTGCTTTTGAAATGTAGTCATTACTTAACTACTTTTAGTAGATGAGTTTTGCTAGGGAATCTAGTTTACACTCATGCTCAATATTGAAAAAATTGAAGGTCGAAAGAAAAATTTCATGAAAACTGGTTCAGATTAATAAATTAAGATGTAAAATTATTGAGAAATATCGAATCATATTTATGTGGGTCAATTTATCATTCAAAACTATTTTTAATGGATTTTTTATTGTTAATATTCAGTATTTTATGAAAACAAATATTTACTGCTATGAATGCTATAAAATTTTCGAATATTAATGATTTCATTAAATGCTTAAATCTCTTCAATTTTTATGTTCCTCTCTGTTGAAATAACATGTCTCTATTTTTGAATTTTGATAGTAAGTGTACATCTTGAGTGTAAAAATTAGTTGAAATTTTGCTGCTTTACTTTACTAACATTCAAAGTAGTTGCAAGAAATCATTACAAACTATTGCTTTTTGTATCGCACTACCCATTATATAAATTTTTTTAAAAGTAATGCATTACGCACTCTACAAAATACATAAACAGTATTAAGTACAGTAATTCCATTACTTGTAGTGCGTTAGTTTCGACCACTGTTCATATATATTTACATAGAATAAACTTTTGCTTTTTTTTTAAGGAGAAAATGCAGTTTTTTTTTCAAATCTTCCGATCTGTGTAGTTTCTGTAATTTTAAAATCATAAAATATTTCATATAATTTCTTAAAAAGATTTTAAATTTTAAGAGTAATGTATTTCATTTTTAACAAGTATGTTATATCCGTATTTAAATTAAATGCTATCCATTATTATTCTTCATTTTTACAATACTATTAAAAGTATATATAATTAGGTTGACAGATTGCTGCATATTAACCTATGTTTGTGTATAGAGAACCAGGAAAAAAGTATATTTGCTTTTATATACCCATAAGTAATGATAAATGTTTTTGGTTCCTAAAGTAGTTTAGTAATCTAAAAGCATTAAAAATTGTTCTATTGTTTTCTAATTTATTACTTTTAAAAGTAAGACAGCTTTTAATATAATTAATTTAAGTTTTGATATAATTTTTTCTCCTTTTTTGTTAATTTTTCCTTATTATCAAAATTTTGATAATTTTGACTTAAGTTTTAATTTTTCTCCCTCTCTTTTGCAAATAGCATTAAAGTTTTTTATGAAAAAAGTTATCAAAACTCAGAACAATTTATGTTCTAAAAATTCATTATGTTATTTTATTTGAGAATTATTATTAAAAATTTCAAGCATTACAATTTCACATTAAGTATTTACTTGTTAATTTTTGTTTTGTTTTTGTTTTGTTTAAATGAACTAAAGCAGTTTCTTTTTTATACTATATTCTGAAAATCATGTTCATTTTATTTTCCATACAATTTTATATTTTCTGTCATTTTTTGAAATTTATTTTTAAATTCTGGGTATACTTAGCTCATTTGCAGGTATTATTTACAAACCTATATCAATGAATTATGTTTATTTTAAATATTTTTTTTGTCATTTTAATATAAATCTATTTTGTTTAGTTATTTCAAAATCAAATGCTCACATTTTGATGTTCTTTTTCAACAGGTTGCTTCAGTGTCTGTTGCTAATTGTAATGAAAATGGCGATACTTGTGAAGAGTGCCTTCTTGGCAATTCTACTTGCTCTAAATCTGCATCAGGTCACACTGGGTAAGATTCTAAGTTTTTTAAACAAGAAAATTTTTATGTTTTGAATTAATTCTGTTCATGCCATAAATACACAAATACGTTTTTCATTTAACAAAAAAGTGTATTTTAACTCTGACTGAGCAAAAAAAGTCATGGCAAATTCTATTTCACCTCCATTGGTAATTAAAAGTTTAAATTTTAAAGAAAAGTGAATTCAAGTAAATCTAGGGGTTAAGTTTATTTCAGATGTAACTTTCGAGAAATCTCTTCATGTTGAGTACACTAATCGATAAAGTGGTTTAAATTTTTTTAAATTTTTTCGTTAATTTAATGAAACTATTACAAATGTCAAAGATCCATGACAACCTTTTTTTAAAAAAAATTGTTGAATTTTAATGTATTCTTAAAAAAGACTGATTTTAAGAAATTTACTAAGGGTTTTTTGGCAAAAAGATGGCATCACATTACGAGTTTCTTTATATCCATTAGTATATAGTTTTTAAAAATATATAAATTTTCATTAGAGAAGTTAGAAAATCTGAATCAAATGCTATGTTCATTTTCTGAAGTACATATTTTGAGCTGTGTCCGTTTTCTTAAGCATACATTTTGACCCATGTCCAGAATAAAAAGCTTACCTATAATATTGTTTATTGCCCAGGTTTTTTTTTATAGTTTGATTAATTTTTTAATCTTTTTTACTTTTATTTTATTTTTTCTGTACTTTGATCTTATTGTTTTCTGCCTATTAATTATATTCTAATATTTTCTTCATTTTAATGCTATTGTAATTTGAAGGTATTCATGTACATATTCTAAAATATTACTTGCAGTTACTAATACATAGAAATTTTAATGTAGTCTTAGAATTAAAAATAGTATATTGTGGATTTATTTTTAAAGAATAGAAACCTATGTATTTTAAATACATGCAAAAATTTCAAAATAGTATTTAAGGTTTATGGTTGTCTCTTTAAATAATTTTGATATTTAATTGTTTAAATTGTCATACATCAAAACCTGCCAATCTTACCTTACAAATATTTGCATAGTTCCTTGAAGCTATTCAGCCTAAGTCTCATTTGATTTTGCAGATTATCAATTTGATTATTTTTGAATAAAGCCTCAGATACCTATTTGTTTCTATAACATTTATGAATTGATATTAGAAGCATTATTTTGTTTGGATCTTTACTATTTTTTATCTTATTTTTAGAACCTTAAATTTCAATGGTAACTCTATGCTCCTTGGTGGCGTTCCTACAGTAGATCGTCTCCTCGAACGCCCTGGTCAAGTGTCAACCCACGATTTTGTTGGATGCATGCGAGGATTATTTGTGGATGGTCGAGAGATTGACATGAGTGTGCCACTAAAATCTGCCCTCATCACAACTTGCAGCAGAAAAGGAAATCCTTGTGCCACTTCAACCTGCGGTGAAGGTGCAACTTGCATTAACAATTGGTTTAGCAGTACATGTCTTTGCAATTTTGGAATGATTGCTACATCTTGTATTGAAGGTATGCACAAATGCAGAATGTTTTATTTTGTCATTATTATTGTTCATTTAATTGATGTTTCTTATTATCAATGTTTGTTTTATTTTTTGGAGTTTCTATTACACCAATCAATCGGTTCAATAAAATTAATTTTGTTATTGTTCTGAAGCGAATTTCGACCATTCTTAGAATGGGTTCTGTTCACATGATTTTTTCCAATATATTTTTTAGTTTTGAGGTATCTCTAAAAAGGTACTGAAGTACTTGAGATATCTATAATTAAAAAGAGGTATCTCTAAATGGAGATACTCTTCTCTCATGTTGTTTTGAGGTTCAGTTCCACTGCTTAATTTACATTGGCCCAGTATACCCTTCACTGATTTTTTTTTAAATTTAAATACAATTACCTTTTTTGCCCTACACTAATATTTTTTTTTTGTCAAGATTAAAGAGAGAGTTTGGAAAGGTTGTATAACTTAAATGCTATTGTACCATGCCCAAAAATTGGTTTAAAAACATTACCGCTACTGAAACACATTCATGCTCGGAGTAGTTCCTGTACAGTAATGCTGTAAAAAAACAGTTGGGAGAATGTCGATGGAGATATTTTACTGAAGATAAGTGCACTGACCACTGTTTATTTTTTTAGCCACTTTAGCATTATTAATATTTATTTCATTATACTTTATTATTGCAGTCAAAAAATTGCTTTGAAAGTAATTGTGTAATCTAAATTTCTTTTTTGTGTAATCTAAATTGGCCTAATTTTATATCATTGCTCTTGAGGATTTAAGTTTTAAGACATGTAGAAAAAAAATGAAGTTTCAACTAGGAGGCTACTTAAATTTTCATGCAATTTATGTTTTGTAAAAGTTTATATTATAAGTTATTGTTATTTATTATATGAAAAAGCAGTTATTGGTTATACATAATTTTTTCAAAATAGGGAATATATAAAATGACTATGTATAATTACTCACTTTGTTTATGAATGAGTTTTGTAAGAAATTTTTATTTTTGGTACTTAAAAACTTTATGCCTCGGATTTGTATCNATTATTAATATTTATTTCATTATACTTTATTATTGCAGTCAAAAAATTGCTTTCAAAGTAATTGTGTAATCTAAATTTCTTTTTTGTGTAATCTAAATTGGCCTAATTTTATATCATTGCTCTTGAGGATTTAAGTTTTAAGACATGTAGAAAAAAAAATGAAGTTTCAACTAGGAGGCTACTTAAATTTTCATGCAATTTGTGTTTTATAAAAGTTTATATTATAAGTTATTGTTATTTATTATATGAAAAAGTAGTTATTGGTTATACATAATTTTTTCAAAATAGGGAATATATAAAATGACTATGTATAATTACTCACTTTGTTTATGAATGAGTTTTGTATGAAATTTTTATTTTTGGTACAGTAGGGAGCCGATTATCCAGTACGATCATGACCATCGCTGTTCCGGATAACTGATTTTTCCGGTTTTCTGAATCGCTACAAAAAGTCGGGTTTTTTATCGTTAAACCGAACTAAAAAAAAAATATTAGGAAATAATCTTAAAAAGAAGAAAAAACGATGAAGTAATACAGTAATGATTATTTCTAAAATGATGGTATGGTAAACATCTTTCAAAAAAGAAAGAAAAATCCTAAAATCTTGTAAGGAAAATTTTTTTTTTTTTGTAAAATGGCGGGAAAATTTATCGAACTTCGTTCCGGTTTTCTGATTTCTGGATAACGGGTTCTGTACTGTACTTAAAAACTTTATGCCTCGGATTTGTAGCACTTTACTTTAAAGTTGTTGTTTTTTTATTATATGAAAAGCAGCTATTAAAGCAACATTTATTGGATCAAATTAGTAACTAGCTTAATAAGCAGGTTCTATATATTTTAATTATTCTTAGATGGTCTATTTTAAATCAATAAATTCAAATCATTTAAGTAATTTAAATTATTGTGAATATTCATTAGGAATAGTATAGAATGAGTTATGCTTTTCTTCAGTTTGTTCAATAATTATAATTTTATGGAGAGATGTAACAAATTCTAGTTTCAAAATTTATGTTGAGATTTAAATTCATGTTGGGTTGGAAAATTGTTGTCGGGATTTAATTCCCAATAGCAGAAACTTTCCAGCACTACAGCGATCACTGCTGGTTATTAGAGCATGGACAGATAGTTTTTCATCTGAGTTTTTTTTCCCCAACTGTATAAGGGATTTATTCCTGTTTTTTGTATCATTGTGTGAAATTTAAACAACAAAGTTTTTATGTATGAGGTGTATTAGCAAATGTTGTTACATGCATGTTAGATTAAGCTGAATTATTACAATATTCTCTGTTTGACTGTATTGAGATCGCTGTCAAATTTGGATTTATAAAGTTAGTTTTGCAGATTCACTCTGTAAATTCTGCTACAGGGGTAATGTGTATGCCAATTTCCATTTTGCATAATTTTATATTTTTTGTCTCAGATAAAGTGAACTTTTCAGTATTTTTTTTCTCATTGCTGTTCTTTTAAATTTACAACATTTACTTAAATATTTAGTTAATACAATAATTTATCAAACTAATGATAAAGAAGTTTAAGAGTCACAGACTAATGTTTAACGAATGCTTTTTGTTCTATAAGGTAAAAATACAAAATTTGTAGTTAAATTTTTATTTACTTCATTCTTTGATAGAGATGTAACCAAACCATGCTGTTCTGTTTTGTAATATTATAGAAAAAGATATCCACCATCTTTCAATGTGTTGCACATTTTTTAAATTTTTTTTATTTAGCCTTTCCTACAAACAGTGCTCACTATTGTATGTTATTTCAGTATATTAAATGTGTGAGATTTTAGTATGTAATTATTTTAATGTTTTTACTAACTGTAATTTGTAAAATATTTTAGCTGAAAAGCCTTACAGTATTGGAGGGGGTAGTTTCCTGGAACTTATTCCCCAAGAAAAGCATAGAAGGACACAATTATTAATAGAAAAATCAGCAAAGACTTCATCTAAAGTGTTATCATTCCATTTAAGATCTCAATCTGATAATGGTATAATATTCTACTCAGGAAGAGATGATGAACGTACTTTACTCCAGGTAAGTTTCGATCTTTTTTTTTTAAAAGAATCTTTTTTAGCATATTTGAAACTGAAACTGTCAGATTTATGAATTTAACATCATTTTTTAATAACATTTTCATTGCTTAGTATTACCAAGAACATAATCTTTATTTAATAGAATTATCAAGTTTGTTCTAAAATTTGCTATTTTTTTCTTTCTTTGATTATTATTTTTAATTTTTTAAATGTTTTCATTTTGTGCTTTTTTTTTCCTCAATGCAAAACAGAAGCTGAAACTGTCAGAATTATTTATTTGGCTTCATTTTTTTAATAATATTTATTGCGTAGCATTTCCTAGTATATTCTTTATTCTGCTCTTTTTCACTTTCTAAAAAATTTCCTTCTTTCTTGATTATTTAAATTATTTATGTTTTTTTTTAAATTTTCTTTTAATTTTGTGCTTTTTTTTCTTAGCACATCAAACGTATCAAAATTTGGCATAATTTTTTTTATAAAATCAATATTCTCTTTATTCAGGAAAACATGCAGCATACTTCACACGAGAGTTATTACATTGATGTCAGTAAATGATATCTTGTTTTTAATTGTTATATTTTAAAGCATGTAGTTTGTTATGATGATGTATTATGATGATATATATCGCACCCCAGCAAGAAAAGTGACACAAGTCAAAAACCAGCAACTTTGAGGTTATGTCAATAAAAAAATATGTATTAAGTGCCCCATAAAGCTCAAAAAGTGTCTCATCTTTAGATTGCGCTATTTCAGATTGTGCTCAAGATTGTGCTATTTCAGAATAAGTTATATAGTATCCTGTAAGTTGATTTTTCTCAAATGCTTGTTTTTGACTTGTGTCACTTTAGTAGATAATATTAAGGAATTTTGAATGTTAAGGAAGAAGAAAAACTGTTGCTCATATGTAGGAAATGTGTTGATTTAAATGTAACTCTTCTGAATCCGTAAAACATGTGGCTTAATATTTTTAAAATATTGTTTAAATATTGTTTCATGTAAAATTATTACATTTTATTTATATATCTGCAATTCTTTTGTTAAGGTTGTCAAAGGGAAATTAGTCTATTCTTCTAAACTGAAGTCTTCTGATGAAGTAGTTATGGAACTCAGTTTACCGTCCCTCACTGATGGTCAGTGGCATAAAATAAGTTTGGTTTTTGCTGACGAAAAACATGTTCATTTAAACATCAGTATGGATCATTACACTCAAGTGATTGTCTCAAAGAAAACTCTTCACGATTTTCTTGAACCTTATATTTCTTCAATAGTCTTCGGTGGAGAATGGGAGCATCTTCAGTTCACTGGTAAGGTTATTTGGGGGAAAAAGTTATTTAAAATTTTCAATTTATTAATGTTTTTTCTCTATTGATCATTAACTATTATTATGCAACGAAATTTGAAATAGAGAATAATTTGAAATATTATTTACCAACAGTTTGAAAAAATATTGTTTTGTAGAAAAGTGTTAGTAAAGTAATACTATTTTTGTTTTAAATTTTCTTTGTTTTAAAATTGTCTTGATTGATTATCTTTGTCTTGATTATCTTTGTTTTAAAATTTTATGTAGTAAATTCATATAATTTTAACAATAAAGTAACAGTATTTTCTTTTAGTAACCCTATGTTATATCCTTGTTGAAGTATACCAATTGAGAAACATGATAACTTAAAATATGTATTTAATAAACCAACAGAACATAACAAATAACATGGTAGCAGTAAGTAACAGAGATTAGCGATGAGCATCTATTAGTAACGTGTTTATATACTCTCTGAAAAGTTACGGCAGCGCTGCTGTTCAACGACTACAGGCTGTCGTCATTGACTCGTTAGTAATGGCGGAAGGTGACGTCGGTTGTCATCACAACACCTTAACTCCTTGATATTCAATTTTTAATAATAAAATTAAAGATAAAATAATTATTAAATTACCTTGCTGCCCTTTTATCTTCCATTCCATGTAATAATACTTTTCAAGTTCAATACATTTTAATTCTATTTTTAAAAAAAGATGGCTTAATTTTTTAGAGCTGAAAGAAAGGGAATTGGAAAAAATATTAAAATCAAGAAGGTGAAAATTCCTCAAACCTTCTTTTGTAATTTCTGCACAATAGACTTTACAGGTTAGAGCAACATGTTGAGTCAATGTGTTGTAAGAGGTTACTTGTTTGTTGTGGATTTAAAAAAAAATTGCATTAAAATAATGACATAAAAAAATTCCATTAAAATAATAATATTCACAATAAAAAAAATTATTAATGTGAATATTTTTTTATTACTTTTACAAATTGTTATACTGGGAATTTTTTTTTTTTTTTACTTTTATTTTATAAAATATATTGAAAAGTATTTTTGAAAAAATTCTTTATTAATATTTTTATAAATTATGAAATTTCTTTTAACTGCTTAATTATTTTTATGTTTTTAAAAGTTTTTCTAATGTAAGAGTTTAAGAAATGTCTGTAAAAAATTTATTTTAATGTGAATATTTTTTTTATTAATTTTACGAATTGTTATACTGGGAAATTTTTTTCTGACTTTTATTTTGTAAAATACATTGAAAAATAGTTTTGAAAGAATGTTATATTTTTATAAGTTATTCAAAAGTATTTTAATTTTTAATTATTTTTATGTTTTTAAAAGTTTTATGATGTAAGAGCTTAAAAAATTTTTATATTTAAAAAAAAACAAACATATTAAATATTTATTTTTTTATAGATGTTTTGGGATGCATAAAACTAATTGCCATCAATGATGAAGTGCAACAAGCAAATTCATCTGGTTATTTCAAGCTCTTTCAGCATGGTAATGCCAACTCTGTGTGCCAAAGTGAAGCCCTGGGAATTGATAAAGTTACAACTGATCCATTGAGCATAGGGGTCATTCTCGTCATAGTCTTCTTTGTTATACTGCTAGTTGTCATTCTTATCAGTTTCCTCGTATTTAGAAGACGAAAACTAAAACGAGATAAATGTACCAGCCAAATAAAACAGAATGGCAATGCCTTTTTGACCAGCACTTCTGCCGATGCTCACCGATCTCATCCTGGATTTACAGACAACACAGCCAATGAGGATATTCTTCGAAATCACCTGCCCGATGATATCATGCCCAAGAAATTGAAAGACAGAGATTCCATGTCCTCCCACACCGAATGTCCTCAAAAAAGGCCGGATATCATCGAAAGGGAAATTCACAGCAAGCCAGCCTTTGTGCAGCGAATTGAAGATCCCCCGATCCATACTTCAGATAAGCCACAAAATAACTATCTGAGAGATATGGAAAATCCAGTTGACCTCGAGCCACCGGAACATTATGATCTGGAAAATGCCAGTAGTATTGCACCGTCTGATATTGATGTGGTGTACCACTACAAAGGATTTAGAGATGGCAACATTAATAAATACAAATCCCCTCCGAATTCCGAAATTCCATCGTATCACAAGCACAACCACAGGCATAGTCCTCACCAGTTTCAATCGAAACCTATTCGTGAAAGCCCTCGTAACATCCTGCACAAGCCCCACAATCCTTTAATTCAAAGCAACAAAATGCAGAACACTCCTCTGGCTCGCTTAAGCCCTTCTAGTGAACTCTCTCAGCAGACGCCTAGGATCCTTACTCTTCAAGATATCAGTGGCAAGCCTCTACAGAAGGCGCTGCTTGCCACCGCGCAAGGAGTTGGATCTAAGCAATTTCAAGATCCTATGACTAATTCTGATCGTAGTCTAAATAGTCCAGTTAGTAATTTAAGTCACAGTACTAGTAGCATGCAATCTAGCCACCAGAACATTAAAAAACTAAAATCCAGGGACAATAGCATGACTTTAGGTCTCACTCCTGAGGAGATAGAGAGGCTAAATGCCAGACCAAGAAATTTAAGTCTAGTTAGTACCTTAGATGCCGTGTCATCGTCCAGTGATGACAATGCCAACAAAAGTGCTCATAACAAATTAGCAGAACTTTTAGAGTCAAATACAGAGCTTTTAGAGGCACAAGACTCCTCCACCGATGAAAGTGGTAACGATTCTTTCACGTGTTCCGAGTTTGAATATGATAACTATGACAAAGTTCATCGGGAGTTCGGACCACGCAATATGATATTTTCAAAATTAGCCGAAGAGGACAATGAAAATGATGAAGAATATAGTAAAAATTACGATAGGTTTGATTCTTTCAGAGGATCATTTAGTACTTTAGTCGCTTCTGACGACGAGTCCTCAAATCCTCCTCCTTACAAACCAGCAAACGGTTCCATGCTAGGCTGGGACTGTTTATTAAATTGGGGACCAAATTTTGAAAATTTAGTAGGTGTTTTTAAAGACATTGAGCAATTACCAGACAATGTTAATTCAAATGGACATGCACAAACTGATGAAGATTATGTATGAACCGTGTAATTTAATAGTCATTGTATATAATACATTTGTCCTCTTAATCAAATTTTAATTTCCATAAGTTTTCCTGACAAATGCTTTTTGGAAAGTTGTACATATGTAATTCTGAAAAAAATTGTGCATACTGTTTAAATGTGTGTATTTATTAATCAAAGAAAATTGTGTGATTTCATACATTTTTTTAGCATCGTACGATACTTACAAAAAACTTTTTTATACAGTTCCATTTTTTACAATTCCAATTTTTACAATTGCATTTTACATTCCATTCAACTGTTTTTTTATGATGTTTTACACTTGTTCTATCTTCATTGTTTTTGATACTTTTGGTCTGTATTGCCAAAGGCCTTTTAACTTACTATATTTTTAAACTTAATATTTATGATTGTACGTGCCTTGTTAACTGTTAGCCAAATATTTTTTTTTCCTTTAACAATTTTCTAAAACATGTATTGTTCTGCATGAATACTTATAATTTTTTATTAAGAGAAATATTTCTTAAATCTTTTTTTTTTCCAATTTTTTAGGTTGACCTATTAATTTTAAAATTTTTCACACATTGAAAATAATTTTCCTTAAAAAAACTTGTTACATTTTTATTATTATTATTTTTTTTAAAAATTAACTTTGTTATTTTCTTATATATCAGGGTTGTATGTATTTCAATAATTTTGGTACCTCATTTTTTTAAACTAGTCAGTAGGCGTCATATCTGCTTCTCATCTGTGTCCATTTTTTCCCCTTTATTCTTTAGGTGATTACCCAAACATATTTTTTAACCATTAAAGTGACCGCATGTGCCATGGATTACAAACAAATCCATCCATTTGTTTCAGTTGTTTATGCAATTCCTTAATTTGTGTCATATTTTAATTATTTTTAAAATACCATGATATGATTGCCATTTCAATGTCGATTATTAAGCTTTTTTTTTAATAATTTTTTTTTGTAGTTTATATCAATTTTTAAAAAAATTATTATAGCTCATATTTTTTTTATCCTTATTTTTATGCATAATTAACATTTTTTAGTGTTTTTTTTCCTTGATAATTTATTACATCATTAAAAATTATTCTTTTTTTATTTTATTTTTTCTACTTACTTTCATTAAAAATTATTCAATTTTTATCCTTTTTATGAAAATATTAATGTGATATTCATTACTTTTTGATCAAATTTCGTTTGATTCATGACTTTTTCTTTCAACTAATTATTAATATTTGTCTTATTATTTTATTTATATAATGCTTTGCATGAATGAATCTGTAAAGTTACTTAATACATAAAATTTTTTTATACTCATTTTCTTTTTTTAAAACTGTATTAATTATCATTAATTTAATTAAACTGACCTTTAAATGTATAAATGATTACTGTTCAAAATTTTTCGTTTAAAAATTCAGTAAGTAATTTTAATACCCATAAAATTGGTAAAATTTCTTATCTGATTAGGTTTTGTGCCATAAGTGTTTCCCAAATTTCTTAAGTTTCAAATTAGAGTTGTCATTTTTATTATCAAATTCTTAAAAAAAAGTATTATCTGCTAAACTTGTGTATAATATCAGACTGCTAATATTAATTTCTATGTAATATTGTTAAGTTATTATATGGAATACATATTTAAATTTTTTATTTATAAATGCAATGAAAAGTTAATTTTCATATCGTAAAATAGAAATTAAAAAACTGAAATAAACTTTAACTTAAATTTTAAAGGCTGTTATATATCCTTAAATAATCCCAAGAAACATCAGTAAAATAATTTTATTTTACAATATTTAACATATGTAAAAATTACATTTTTTATTGCTTAGTTTTATTGTTTTATTTATATTTTCTTTTTTTAACATATAATTTATCCATAAAATAATTTTGCTTTAATATTTCACTCGCATAAAAATTGAATTTTTTATTGCTTAAGTTATCGCTTTATTTTCTTTTTATTTAACATATTTGCCCGTATTTTATTTTTGCTTTCATAAAATAGTAGAATTTATTTAGTCGGATTAAGTAAAGACTGTTTTTTTAAAATTATTATTATAGTTAAAAAAATTTGTAAAAACGTTTTAGCCCTATAAAATATTAGTAATTTATTTATTTTAATTTATAAGGAAAAAATAATAAGTTAAAATTATTTAGTAGTAGCATTAACAATTTCAATCAAGAATTTGGTCCCTGGGCAAACTTAATTTCAATGCCTTGCACTATTTTTCCATGAAATAACATGAGGAAAATGGAATTTAGAGTTTAAATGCAAGAAAGCAACCTGCTTAATGTTCAGAGGCTTAAACAAAAATTTTGTTCTGTTGTATACTATAAACAACTACTATTTAATTTAACTATTATCATTTATATTTCATAATATTAACAGTTTTTAAAGTCATGAAATTTTCAAATCACCAATCCACAGCATGAAAACAGTTGGGAAACACTTATATATTAATTTTTATGAGTATTGACTTGTAATATTCACATGCCAAAAATCGCCAAACTGTTAAGTATGATTTTGAAACTGTGTTCAAAAAAATTGTTTTTCTGACAAATTGTTTGCATGTAACCTGAAACTTTTTTTCTTCTCCATAAATCATGTTGTTCCTGGAACTTCTAAGTCCACAATGCCCTTCAGTTATATACATAAAACTCAGTTTTGTGCATGAAGTGCATTGTTCCTGGAACTTCTAAGTCCACAATGCCCTTCAGGTGTATACATAAAACTCAGTTTTGTGCATGAAGTGCAGTTTCATTACTCATCCTAAACAATGTTATGTTGAAGAAAATATACAAAATGTAAATTATACAATTCATTTTGTAGGAATGAATGTGCCATTTGTGTAAATATATGATGCAGCATTATTTGCTGTTCTTTAATAATAAAGTGTTATATGCTTTGTTTATACTGTATCCTTATTGAACTAATTGAACTACTTAAAGTAAACATGTTCACAGTGCAGTGTTCCCCAACCTTTTTATCACTGTGGACCTGTCAACGTTTGATAATTTTACCACGGCCTGCTGAGGATGGGGGAGGGGGCATTGATTGTTTATATTTTAGATTATTGAAGTTATACTTCTCATGCGACTTCCAACAACAAGGTTGCGTTAAACGTTTAACGCTACATTTTTATTGGCCGGGAAATCATGTGGTAGGATCCAGTTTTCCCTCATTCATTTCCATATTGTTTTGGTTCTCACTAGCATTAAAATAATAAAAGTATTGTTTTTCTATAAATATTTTTTTAGTTTGATTTGATAAACATATAATTTAATAGGGTAGTATTTTTTATTTTAAAATTTAGTGAATAACAATTGTAAAAAATGAGTGAAAACAATCCCACGGACAATGCGACGGATTTAAGGTTATGTCAACTTACGTCTCTTGTGAATATCAATTGTTAGGTTTTCTATTTTGAAATTACATTATGACGCATTCACATACAAATACATTTTCCATGGCGAAACAATGAGGAAACCACAAGCACTTCCACTGGCTCAAGAGGTCCACGAGGGAAAAATGCACAATATTACCGTTATTACAGAGCACGGAAGCGAGCGGAGCAGGAAAAAGAGTCGTTGAATAGGACTAGTGATCCTTCTACGACTGCTGATTCTTCTACAATTAACGTCGCAGGTTACGAAGTTTAACTTCTTCCGCGCGGAGGGACTCCACGCACTATTTCTTTTTTGATTTATTAATTCGATTGTATTTAAACATGCCTTCAAAATAAATACAGTTACACAAAAAAATAAATATAAAGTGATTTAACATTTTAACTTACTAGAACATTAAATCAATGAGAACCCTGAGCTTGTTTCTTTGCAATGACACGGTTCCATGTGGGGGTAATCGGAGAAATGATACATAACAAACATTAAGAAATTTATGTCACTACCTTCGGGGTCCCTTTTTTTTAAATAAATAAAATTTTAATAGAGTACATATATTTTTAATTTGGGGTATAAACCTAGGAATTTAAATTCAGTTTCAATGAAATGGGCGACCCGGTACCATTTGATCCTCGCTGCCATAGTGGACTTATCGTTAAAACACGGCTTCCTGTTGAATACCAAAGTCAAGCATCACTGGCAGTGGGTAGGTGGGTGGCCATTTTGATCAGCCTGCGAAGGGACAGGTGGTGTGCGGTATCAGTCCTTGTTAAACTGTTGTACTGTAAAGTGTTCGACTTCTGGATGCTAGTTGTCAGGCTACCAAGGTGGGAAAGCAGCCTCCTCTGAAGAGGATCAAAATTGTGGTGGCATGACTTTGAATTATCTTTAGGGATGTTTCCCAGATCGTCGCCAATAGCCCATTGGGAGCCGTGGTGGCTTAGGGGATAGAGTGTTATTATTTGAGAAAATTTTCTCTTGACCCCTCGAAGTGTTCTCTGTTGTCTAGTCTAGCGGTTCTAAAATGGTGTTCTGCGACTTAGTATTTCTTATAATAACAAGTAATGATTTTTGATTATGCTTAGATCCAACCTCTCTCTTTGATTATGCTTCGATCCAACCTCTCTCTTTGATTATGCTTCGATCCAACCTCTCTCTCCCTGATTATGCTTTGATCCAACCGATAATTCAGAATTGAGCCTTCCTATGAGGTGAACCCTGTTCGAATTCCGCATCCAACTAGCACCGATCACAGTGCAGACGTGAAATATCCTCAGTGGTAGACGGATTATGGGTTAGAGTCCACTTCCATTAAGGCTAGCCGTGGGAGATCTTCGTGGTTTTTCTCTCCATTTAACGCAAATGCTAGTTAGTTCCATCAAAAAGTCCTCCACGAAGGCAAATTTCCCCCAATACTCAGATCCAGGAGTTCCCTTGTCTTTTGGATTGGGTTCAAAACTACAAGGCTGCGGAGTTGAACATTAGTAGTCATAAGCACTAAATTGGGTCATCTGTTCAACGACGGTTGTAAAATATATAAAATAGCCCATTTCGTAATTATTATTAATAGTCTATTGTGGCATAAAGTAATACTGCATGTTACAGAATATTTATCGTAGGTTTTCTTTTTTTAAAATTATATTCAGTCAAACTTTGATGGGAGACACAATTTCGTGATGTCTAAAATTGTTGAGAATAAAAATCGAAAATTATTATCTAATGCCGAACTCTTTTTAACAATAAGGCAAAAATAGTAACTGTAACGGCATTTTAAAAGCGGTGTAACAGATATTTATTAAAAAAAATCAATAATCTTACACAATTTATTTTATATTCGGCTGAATCTCTTTTGTTAGGTCATCTTTTTTCCCCCTGGTATATCTCTAGCTGCCTTAGACTCTTTTAATTATATTTCTGATCATCCTCACTACATACTGAAACATCATTGTCTATGGTGCCTTCTAATTCCAGTTTCTTTTATTTGGATGCATTGAATTAGCAAGAAAATTACGATCTGTGGATGAATGAATGGGTCCGCGCTATAAACGGGTGCGACGTATGGTGTGGCAGAAGTCGAATTCTTGGCCATAGATGGCGCCACTGGAAAACAAGAACAATCGCACCCCCTCTGCCTAAACAGGCATACATCAGCAACAAATTGGCAAGTTCGTTTCTTAAGGAATGGATAATTCAGCCAATTACTTTTTTTTAAAAATCTAATACTAATCTTGTTTGTATCAGGCTTTAAGAAATGATTCATAAAATTGTTCAAAAAAAGTTTTTAAGATTTTTTAAACAATTTTAAGTACCTAGAAAATTTTTTTTTATTACCTGGTGATCAAAAATATTTCATGAAATCGAGGTCTATCTCTATTAGCAAGATAGCAAAGGATGTTCAGATTTTTTTTTGTAAGTTCGAAAATTTGTGTGTCTTGAAGTTCGACTGTGTAAAAATATTGCAGCGAAAGCAACACATTTAGTTAATCAAGATTTATTGTCACAAAAGAAATGTTTCATTTTTACGAAGACATGATATTTTAAAGAATTTTTTTTTGTTTTGCATTTCATTTTACACCTGGTAGCTGGTCATTTACCATTGAAAAATCTCCACAGGCGAACGTTAACACTTCCACTCGATGAACTTTTCAAGTGACGGTCACAATAGTTAATGAATCTCGAAGGTATTTTCAAAACACCTCTCATTTCTGCACACAAATTATTCATCTAAGGAATGAAAAAAGAAGAAAATAAATTCCTTAGAGAACGTAAAAAGTTAAGATTTTCTGTTTTTTGAAGGGCCTGTCAATTCAAGAAACATAACATTAATATTATATAAATCTACCTATTGATTAGTTGTTGAAAATTAGGTTAGATGATAAAGAAAACTGGGTAGTTCTTATTTTCCACGACGGATTAAGAATCTATCTTTTTTTTTCATTTCAAATTATGTTAATTTTGATGCAAACAATTATGTAAAAATAGTACATCAATAAAAGACAAAGCTCCACCTCTACTATAAAATCAGGTGGCAGCGAGTAACAATAAAACACTTTGCCAAGAATGTATAGGGAATTCATTGATTTGGCTGGGCAGTTTTTAATTACTCCCAAGACTATAACTCTCACTTAACGTAAACTTTAGAAATTTAAAATATTTTGTTGGAGAAGTGAAATTTTTAAAAATGACTATATTATCGAAGCCAAAACATTACAATGAAATAAACTGTTAATGGCTTCGATTTTTTATATAAATGCATTAGCATTTAAAGAAAGACATAGAAATTATGTAATCGTTGAGAAAAAAAATATCAATGATGGTATTTATTGAAAAGAGTATCAAGTGAAATATATACTTAATTACTAAATGTTAGGAAATACCCTGCGCCTATTTTATCTGTATATTTTCTATTTGACTACTTTATTCATAAGACCGAGTTAAAATGTAAATAATTTTTGATAAAAAATTATAAAATTCATTATATTCTAAGTATTAATAATTTTCTCTATAAACTGTAACCGAGAGCCTAAAAAGCCCTACGGCCTCATTTTGCTCATGAATTTGATATTGCTCCTCCCTAGAAGTATTCAGTACTCGGTGAGGGACGGTATGGCTCATTTGAGTGAGTTATGATCTTTAATTTCCAAGTATACTGAGTGCAAATATATATATTTCACGTCTTTAGAAAATGTATACAAAATTATAGTTCTTGCTTTTTAGTAGAAGCCCCATTACAGCGACTTCCATTATAACGACTGATACATAAAGTTCCGTTTGCTATCCCGTGGAAGCAATGTTATTTTAATGTCCATTAGAGTTTCCGCACAGAGTCGCTCATTCCAACATACCGATTGAAATTTAGCCTTTTAAATTAGAAAAAGGTTTTCAGATGTTCAAGTTCCTATGATATTACCGCACAATGAATGTAAAATACCCTGAATGTCCTTTAAATTAAGGCAGAGTGACTTGATCTTCAAAATTCCTATTCTAAGACCTAACTAAGCGGTCATCATTCATAAACCATGTAACTTTCTTTTTTAAGTTTATAATAAATTTTTCATACATTCACTTTCCTTGTTTGAAAATTATATTCACTCTTTTCTTTTCAAAACAGTCGTTGAACAGCCAACCCAATTTTAAGTTTACGACTCCCAATATTGAACTCTGTTGCCTTGTAATTTTGAACACAATCCAGGAGATAAGGAAACTCATAGACCAAACATTGGGACCAAATTAACCTTCATGAAGGATTTTTTTGATGGAACTAATCCCCACCTGCGTAACATGGAGAGGAAGACCACTTAAAACTCCCACGGTTAGCCTGGTGGCAAGGGGACTCCAAGACATGATCTATCTACCATTGAGTATATTTTTCGTCAGCACTGTCGCGAACCGGGTGCGGAATTCGTATCAACCAGCCTTCGCTGGTGTTCGAACCCGGGTCAACTTCATTGGGTGGAGAGCGCTCTATCCCCTTAGCTACCACGGCTGTACTCTCTCCTTTTGTGCAATTTAAGTGTGGTTTATTTTCGAGTTAAAACATGTCGTCTTCGCAGTTATCTTAATGTCTATTATTTATTGAAAATGACAACCCCGATCTAGTATATTTCTTTAATGCAGTTTTCGCTGTATGTTAAAGTGTACTTGTTATGGTAAATGGTACATATATGTTATGTATGTTAATATGTTATGCGCTGTATGTTAAAGGGTACATATTAATAGAGAAAAAAAGTTGTGTTATTATCGATTTTTCCATTTGATTCAGAATTCTTATTAAAGTAGAGCATTACTTTGCTAAAATTGACCACTTTTTTTTAAAACTTTTTCTTCAAGTTATTGCACGATAATTTTATGCAATAATGTAACGATCTCAAATTGACGTTATAACGTCCGTTTCTGCCCCAACCACGAAGTTCGTTAATATCTTACGTCGACTATGCAATTTTTATCGCTTCAAAACTTTGCCTGAGATAACAAAAATTCTATGAAGATGCTAACTTACATCCTGGACGAAATTTCTACGTTCTGTCTCCACTCTCCGCAAGAATGCATTCACTTGTTTATCTATAACGTCTTCTCTTGGATCTGAGCTCTGGTTTTCTCCATCGATGCACTCGTAATAATTTTCATCCATTTCAACAATCCTGAAAGATGAATTATTACGGGCTCAGAATTTCAGAAGCAATAATTTCATTATTGAAAATAAAATGAGTTAGGACGAATTTAAATATTTTCCCAGAAAGCTATCCCGGTATTATCGATAATTACAATCGATAGCCTGGTCGGTAGGGCGCTGGGCCCATATCCGAGAGTTCGTGCGTTCGAACCCCGCCGGCCAAAGATAGCTGATGCGCGTTAAAATTCTGCCGAGTCGCAAAGTCCTCCATCTTCCCATAACAAATCAGTACCTCTGGTGGTACTGGATTGGAGACCGATCGTTCTCTGATTCAGGTCAAAATTACGATTTGTGGATGGGTCCGCCTTATAAACAGGTGTGACGTATGATGTGGCAGAAGTCGAATNCTGATAGGGTGAATTTCGGAAGAGATCACATTTGATGAGAATGCTCTCTCTGGTTATTTCAGTTTCCGTTTTGAAAAGCAGCATATAAAGGTATGTATTATATGGTAATCGCTAGTTTTGAGATTATTAAATGATTCAACGATTTTTTTTTTAAATTTTAAACTTTTAAAACTTTTGCACCAATCCGGTTCTCATTCATATGCAATATTTTTGCATGCGAAGTTACGGAGTCAAGTAAATTTCACTGTTCTTTCTTTTTAAATTTTTTTTTGAACTTTTTGGTCAGTCGAACGCAAGGAATTTTTTTAAAACTCGTTTTTTAAATTTTATTTCATTTTCATGTGTTCTAAAAAAATAAATAAAATAAAATTTAGTTGGTGATAGGTATAGATTTTTGCTTGCGTCCGGCAAACGAAAAAGTACCATTTTTTTATGCTACAGCTATTCTTAAAGAAAAAATAAATAAATAAAATTGCTAAATTTACTTGCATGGTGAAATGAAAAAGTACCCGCTTAATTTAGTATCCCTCATTTGCTTTTATTAATTTGAAGTAATCTTCAAAATAGCATTAATTCATACCTCAAAGATATTGATTTTTGTATTTCGTTAAGCCTTAATCCAGAACAGAGTCAATTTTCAAAAATCTAGAGTGATTCAATCAGAACTGGATTTATCGCCAAAAACTACATTGCACTAAAGGATGCCAATGCGATTACGATGATCGATTTACATTAAATTTCCCGCTATATAGTTGGCATTAAACCACCTTTTCCTAGACAGTTCATTCTTTTATACTGTTTCGTAGCAAATTATTGCAAGGCAAGTATAGATTTGATTCAACCGCATTGGCTTCTGAACCCATTAGCCAATAAAATATTGGTTTATGAAAATTTCATTTAAAAATATCACAGAAGTTATTAAAATGAGCACATAAGATTGAGTAAGGAATCAGGCAAGCAAAGTGAAATTCAAATATTACATCTAGTTTCAATTAAAGCCGTGTGAAAAAAAAGAAGGAATAGCAGGATATAATATAGCATCTTAGCCAAATTAGTCAACACTCAAGTCTAAATTACTGTGACTTTAAATCACACAACATAAAAATAAGTTGTTGAAAAATGTTTTGCAGTTGAAAAATAAGTTGCAAAAATATGTTTTAGATTAAATTGTGTAGAAGTCAAAGGAATAAAAATTTAAAATATAAGAACATACATCAAATTTCAATGAAAATCAAATCGAATGTCAACTAACAGAAGAAAAACAAAAATCCTTACATATTTCGGTTTTCAACTAAATTAATTTTAATGTTAATATTAAAAATTTACATACCGACAGCAGTAATTCCACTTTTACAAGGAAGTTCAGTATTTAAAGATTTTTCAAAGTTTGAATCTGTCTTTGTTGACTATCTGCTATAATAATTGTACTAGGTTTCCTGCTGAGTTGTAGCATAAAAAAAGGAAAAGAAAAACAGCATAATATCACTTTACCTAGAAGACAAAAACCGGGAATCGTTAGTATTTGAAGTTTCTGGGATAGATCTAGCAGGCCCACTTTATTTGAAGGAAGGTAAAGAGGCCTGGAATCTCCTACTTACTTGTGCCAACCGAGAAATGTATAAAGAGTTTCCATTCTGCTGCTTCAAAAAGAAGAGACGCATTTTTGTTTTTGTTTTTTTGTCAATGCTTGTCAAAATGGCAACGATCTAGTCATATCGTTTTCAGCACCCCGCTAAGGTAAAAAACTGAACTACGAATTTGTTAAATGAGTTAAAAAAAAGTCTTAACATTTTTATTTTTATTTTTTTTATTTCCAATGAGGTGCACAATCAGTCTTCCCGATGAGCAGACCTAGTGCGTTCTCCAGAAGTGGTATCCACTCTTTCAGGACCACCACAATGGTGTGGGATACCGTTGGTCATGTTAATTTGGACGTCTAGTTTCTGCCACACTAGATGGCAGCACCGAGACTCTATTTGGATGCTAAAGTGGACTAGGAATTTAATTTTGCCAGAAATGCCAAGAGCCAATAAGGCACTCCAGGGATCTTTTACATGCCGCATAATCATACGACATGGCCGCTGAGGATTTTCTGCATCTCGAAAATCCGGTGCCTGGGCCGGGGATCGAACCCGCAGACTAGGGCTCAGAAGGCGGACGACAAACCAACTACGCCACCAAGCCACACAGTCTAAACATATTTTGATCGAAAAAAAAAATGCTTTCCTGGTGAAAAATTATGAAATTTGCAAAAATCTACCTACGGAAGCTACTGCTAAATTGAAATTACAGAAGATTGAGAAGCACCTTTCGAATAATTAATAGTAACATAGCATAAGATCAACTATTATAACATAACTGTATAAGTTGAATGACAACTCGACTAGCTCATCTCAAAACTAAACTCATTTCTATAAAAAAAAATGGGTGCATGGTGATAACGGTGAGTTCTATAATGTGTAAACTCTTTCTAATGTTCATAAAAAATCTAAAAATTTCAATCTATTATAAACGAATTGATTAAATTCAGAAGGATTTGGTTGCATTTTTTCGGGTATTTATCGGATATAAGGGACCATGTGCTAGTGATAGCTTTTCCAACTCTAATCTTCTTGCCACTATGTCTATTGCTCTCTGTCATAAAGGTGATATAAAAGATATACTCAGAAAGAAGAAATATATAGATGAAAGATATTACAGATATAGAGGTGATATACTCCTTACTCCCACCTCTATGATCTTAATAACCGATAAGTGGGAATTATAAAATCGTAATTATAAAGCAATATCGATGTTTAACAATATATCGGAATATTTTTCAATACAAATAATTTTATCATTTTTACATGATTCTACATTTTCTTTACCAAAATAAAATTTATCGACATTCACAGTAATATCATATTCACTAATTTACGTTATGTACAATATTCGTGATATTATCATCATCGATATTTTCAGATTTTAATAATAATCGCTATATTATCGTATTCGATGTATATCGTTATTGTTAAGGATCACGATATTGTCGTATTTAATACACATATTCACAGTAATATTGTATTCAATAATTAAAGTTATTGTATGATATTCCTGATATTATCGTAATCGATATTTGTAGTTTTTAATAATAATCGTAATATTATCGTATTCGATGTGTATCGTTATCGTTAAGGATCACGATATTGTCGTATTTAATACACTTATTCACAGTAATATCGTATTCAATAATTAACGTTATGTATAATATTCGTGATTTTATCTTTATCGATGCTTTCAGTTTTTAATAATCAAAGTTATATATGATATTCCTGATATTATCGTAATCGATATTTGTATTTTTTAATAATAATCGTAATATTATCGTATTCGATGTGTATCGTTATCGTTAAGGATCACGATATTGTCGTATTTAATACACTTATTCACAGTAATATCGTATTCAATAAGTAACGTTATGTATAATATTCGTGATTTTATCTTTATCGATGCTTTCAGTTTTTAATAATCAAAGTTATGTATGATATTCCTGATATTATCGTCATCGATATTTTCAGGTTTGTAAAATAATCGCAATATTATAGTATTCAATGTACATCGTTATCGTTAATGATCGAGATATTGTCGTATTTAGTGCACCGATTCACAGTAATATCGTATTCAATAACTAATGTTATGTATAATATTCGTGATATTATCGCCATCGATATTTTCAGTTTTAATCGCAATATTATCGTATTCGATGAGCATCGTTATCGTTAATGATCACGATATTGTCGTATTTAATACACTTTTGTGTATTATCTATTGTTGTTGATCTGCATGAACTAAAATCTGACTGAACTTAACTTCATGGTCTTTATAACCAATTAGTTCTCTTTTTTTTGTGAACAAAAGTATGACCTATCTATGAAAAGTATTTTTGGCTCAGTTTGCATATAAAAATAATTCATGAGTGGGGAAAAAAAATTGATTCGTGCTTTTTGTATTCTATTTGAAGAAATTCGTTTGACACATTTCTCTTTTACTTGAAACAATTCCACTTTGAAATGATTGAGGAATATATCAACCGTAGAAAAAAAACGAGACATTTTAAACGCACGGCAAACCTATAATTATGGCCTGACAGTTAACATCGCTCTATTAACGATTGGACTATAAAGTCTCTCTCTCTTGCTCTATATTAAATTAGGCTTCTAGATTCACCGATTCTCTATGAGAATTTTCACATAAAATTGAATCCTTTTAAGTTCCGCACCAGCGGTGACTTCTTAATCAAAAGAGATGTTTATGAATCTTAATCGATTAATTCATAAGGAGAAAGAGAAGCGCTTTTTATATGTAGACTAATCTGATATTAATCCAGTTGCTTTCTTTTTTTTCTTTCGATATCTTTCTTTTTTTTTTCCTTTTCTTTTGTATGTGTCAGAGAAGCCAACTTGCTCCGGACAGCAAATATGTATTTTAAAGAATAAAACGTATTGGTAATAAACGAACAGTCAGTAACTGACACATCAGTTTTAATTTTTGATTATGACCTGATACTAAGTACTTCAAAAAATACGGAACTAACGGACTCAATTTTTCTTTTTAATTAAGTTTGCGGAAAAGATTGATTTTTTTCAGTGTGTCATATTTTAGGTACATTAGCTAAAATTTTGATTTTTTTTATAGCAGGTATTAAAAACAGAGATGCCAACTTGCTCCGGAGAGCAAATATACATTTTAAAGTGGTAGTTTATCAATAGTGATTCTTGGTTTAATAAATTCAATTTAGTAGATTTTTATCCACCACAATTTTTAAATAATTCGAAGGTTTATAAAATTCACCACTTTAGAGCGCTTACGTCAATGACATTATACCCAGAGATGCCAACTGATCCGGACAAGCCAAAATAATTAAAAAAACGGTAAATAACTACAAAGTAAATTTTGCAAAAATTTGACGATTTTTGCTTGCTTTTTAAAAGGTTTAACATGACGTAAGTGCTATACAGTGGTGAATTATATGAGCCTATGAATTATTTAGAAATGAAATAGTGGTGGATAAAAATCTACTAAATTGAATTTATTAAACCAAGAATTACAGTTGATACACTACCACTTTAAAATATATAATTGCTGTCCGGAGTAAGTTGGCATCTCTGTATACCAGGTGCCCACGGGCACAAACACAGATGGGTATACTGTACTAGACTTCAGTTCAAAGTGCTTACGACATGCTATACCTTTAAAAAACAAGCAAAAATAGTCAAATTTATGCAAAATTTACTTTGTAGTTATTTACCTTTTTTTTCATAATTATTTTGGCAGTTGCANCCTTTAAAAAACAAGCAAAAATAGTCAAATATTTGCAAAATTTACTTTGTAGTTATTTACCTTTTTTTGCATAATTATTTTGGCAGTTGCATCGCCGATGTGTGTCGATAATAGAAACATTTTGACAAAGAATTTGATAGTCAAGAAACGGTGGCAGTAGCTTAAAGTCAGGGTTGAATATAAGGCGAAAAAAATGCGTAGTATGCTTCGCCACTTCATTTACAGCTCTCTCTCTGCTACCGTTTCTGATAGTCAAGAAATGGTGGTAATAACTTAACCCTTTTGAAAGCAGTGGTAAGTATACTTACCACCACGTTTTACCACTTTTAATTTAGGTTTCCATTTTTCAATAACTTCAGCTTTCTAGAAGTGAGTTTGAATAAAATTGGTAACCATTTGTCACTTTTAAAAAACTAATAAAAGTTATAAAATACGTAATTCCTTTTGAAGTTGGTAGCATTTAAGGAATTTATTTCATAAATAAAGAAAAATAAAAGTCAGTAAGTTCCTAATAGGTCATGTTAAATATATTTACCACCAAAAAAATGGCATTTTTATAAAATAAATGAGTTTTTTTTCTTAATATCAATTACTGTTCTTAAAACAATTTCAATTCCAAAAATACTTTAATTTACCTTTACTAGAAATAAAGGGCCCATTAAAGGGTTAATTTATCAAGCAAAGTGCTTGACTCATTTGAACAGCTACCATAATGTTGCTAAACTTAAAATGTTTGTTAATCAATGTATATTTTATACTTTCATGACGTATGGGATAGGGGCCGCTGCGTGGCCCAGGTGCCCAGTTTTTGATAAATACAGGAAAGGAAAGCATTTATAAAATTTATTTTATAAATAAAGAAAAATAAAAGTCAATAAGTAATTTATGGTCGTGTTAAATATGTTATATATATGATCGTGTTAAAAAAATTGCCTTTTTATAAACTAAATGGGTTTTTTCTTTCTTATATCAATTACTATTCTCAAAACAATTTCAATTCAAAAAATACTATAATTTACTTTTGCTAGAAATAAATGGTCATGAAAGGGTTGAAATCAGGGTTAAAAATAAGACGGAAAAGTGAAAAAATGGGTAGTAAAACCACTTTATTTATAGCAGGTTATGGCGAAAACAGGGTGGCAACAACTAGGAATAATTCGAAAAAGCGGTAGAGAATTATTGAAGAAGCAAATCGTTTTTTCGAATTGCTTTTAGCCAATATATATTTTTAAACGAAGGGAAATATATATAAATGTTAGAGGTGCCTAACTTAATTCTAAAAAGTAAAGGGAAAATTAAAACCAACAGCTTTATGTAAGATTTGTCACCCTTTTTTCAAACTTTGCCCGGTTGTGGCCATTTTGGATGTGTGAAGTAAGCTCTTATCATCCGTTAGTAAAAGTAAGAAAGTGTTAGAAGTTATTTCGCTATGCGTATTTGTCCAATAAATAAAAATAGCTCATACCCATTAGAATATAGTAATGATTTTATAATGTATGTTTACGTTTGTGATAAATATTTTAAAAATTTAAGAAAAGNACAAAATCAGTCGTTTCCGAAATGCTTCCACCCTTGGCCCGAAAGCCAATAATTATGCCCTTTTGGACGTCGGAGAAATCGCTACATTTCTGCATTGCGCCAACGACTGAAATGCTTTTCGATGCCCTAGGACATCCAATATATACACTACACTGTAATGTGCTGCCACCTGCACTCTGTGAGTGGTTATTTCACATCGACGTCGAAAGTAGGTGGTGGTCACATTAATGTGACTGGACTGTGTATAAATGTTAGAGGTGCCTAACTTAATTCTGAAAAGTAAAGGGAAAATTAAAACCAACAGCCTTATGTAAGATTTGTCACCCTTTTCTCAAACCCCGGTTGTGGCCATTTTGGATGTCTGAAGTAAGCTCTTATCATCCTTTAGTAAAAGTAAGAAAGTGGTCTAAGTTATTTCGCTACGCGTATTTATCCAATAAATAAAAATATCTCATATCTATTAGAATATAGTAATGATTTTATAATGTATGTTTATGTCTGTGATGAGTATTTTAAAAATTTAAGAGAAGAAAATTTTTACACAGTTTAAACATACTTTAAAATATTTCTCTTCCTCTGTATATATATATATATATATATGTTGCTACTTTTTACACATTGGGTTAATACCTAACCAGCACAATCTTGCGAGGGTTCAGTTGTAAAGGGTAATTCTAAATTTTTAATTATTCACCACCATTTACTTCTTCTCAGATTTTTCTAAATATATATATATATAAAAACAAAGTAATTTAATATACATGTAATAATCGCGAAAAATTCTTGGTAATCATTATATTTTAATTTTTTTTAAAAACAAACTGTAATAAAACTTTTTTTTTTTTAGCAGTTTTTGTCCTTTTTCGTCTTGATTAATAGCGTTTAGCCATGCTTGAAGCTACCACTTTCGAAAAGAATATACAATGTTTCAAATAATGTAATAAAATAAAAAAAATATAAAAATTACGTAATTTCAGTAGATTTAGAAGGAGAAAATAACTTTATTTTCGTCATATTTAAAACGAAAAATGTAAATCGTATTATTTTTTTTTTAAAAAAGGGGGAAATTATTGGCTGTGATAGAGATTTTCGTCTTAAGTCTGACAAAAAAAAAAGGAATTATTTTCTTTTTTTTAGTTTACTTGAGAAAAGTAGTTTTTAAAATTTTAATTTTTTTTAAAATTTATGTCGAAAATGGTCGAAACTTTGATTAACGATTTAATGGTTACACTTAGAAAGCAGTTTTACAATTAGGAAGTGTCATCAAACACAGAGCACTAATTGAAATTTTAGCACTCTAACTAATCGGAATTTTGCCTGACGATAATTTACATTTAGGAATAAAATCTGTTTGCAGTGTTCTGTAATTTATCGTTATCATAATGCATAGGACTCTAGTAGAGACTTTGGGGATTTAGCATGCCGGAAGAAGGTTGGATTTTCTTGCAGGAAAATACCTAAAACACCTAAATTTAAGTCATGCGTCTATCTGACCTACACACGATATGTTACAAGTAGTCGGCGCAGACTATTTAAAAAGTGAACCAGCTGTGCGCATGAACCCAAATTCAATTTCAAAAGTAATTGAGAGAAATTTATCATATATATTTGAGAATTGAATCTGTAATGGTTGACATGTGAATAAGACAAACCAATCATACTCATAAATTTAAAAAAAATTTTAGACATATATTTGCTACCAGTTTCTCATTTTTTACTAGATTTTCTATTAAATGGCTCTTTCGTAAACTGGTTTGCCCTCATAGTGGTCTGATCGGACTACCTATAAGAAACCGTGTGGAGGCTTTTAGTTGTACGAGGCTTTGGCTCAGCTCAGTACCTTTCCAAACTTCACTGGTAGGAAAGAGACGGAAATATCCACTTGGTTTAGACTCTCAGAGCTGTAGTAAGGATGGGGCAAGCAGGGCATTTGACAGGGCTTGGCATTTCAGCAAAAAAAAAAATTAATTGGTATTACATAAAAATTCTTTTTGCTATGCGTATAAAAGTTTCATATTTTTTAAATAAAAATTTAGTTTTAGTTTTGAAATTTTGTTCTGTTTCATTCATGCAGATTATAATAAAGGTATGGATTATGAATGCAGTTTTAAGAGCCTCACATAAGAATACAGTTTACAAAATATTTTTTTTTAAAAAAAGTCATATAACTATAAAGATATGACTCTCAGAAAAATTAGCTCAACATTGAACTATAATATAAGTATCTTTAACCATAATAAGAGGCAAATTTGCTATGATTTTTATAATTATTGAATGAACCCTGTTTTGTTCCATATCATTTCAGTCCTTGTTTCCGTTCATATCAGTTTTTCAATTAACCCTGCTTCGGTTCGAACCAGAGTATCCTGCATGCAAGATATGTTTCGGCTCAAGCTGAACCATAATATCGTGCATGCAAAATATGTTTCAGTTCAAGCTGAACCATAATATCGTGTATGAAGAATATGTTTCGGTTTCAAGTTGAACTATTATATCATGTAATCAAGTTTTAAAAGTACGATGATATGACATAATTATTGATAAAAATGTAACGATTATCAGAAATTGGAAAATAAAATTTTAAATTATAACAATGATAATAAAAAAGTTGAAATATTTGTTTTTTTTTTTTCGAATTAAATTAAACGAACTAAATAAAAAAAAAACGCAATATAATCTTTTTCTCTAATTTAACACGTTCACGCCGGGGTGACCCACCGGTGGGTCACACTAGATTGTCTCATCTTGGCAGCGCACCGGTGTAAAAACTGGTAACAATAAATTTCATTTTTTAGTTTTTTCAGGGAATAATAAAAACCCATAGCTACCAATTGTTTTTAACGGATGCAATCTTTATATTGAATTGCTTCTTCGCCGTGATAAATTTCCTTACAATGAATTATTATTGTTGAGAATAAATTAACTCTTCCCGAATATTATCTAATATTGAAATAGTTCTTCTACCAGTATTTTCTCTTTTCCCGTACCAGTATTTTCACTTTTCCCGGCGTGAACGTGTTAACTGAAAATCTATAGAATCATTTTTTGTATTTCTGTGAACTGTGTAGAAAAGGAAAAATTAAAAGGCTTCGTAAAGTCTAGCGACAGCTCTGTTTAAATTTACACGTACTACCACTTTTTTCTTAAACTGATTTTTTTTAATAAAAGTAGTGAAGTTGAGAGGTCTTAAAATGATGTCATTATTCTTGTTAATTTGAAACAGTGCAGCGACCTATTGAGCTGTCACAAATTACATGTTCTGTTTTTTCTTTTTAAATTTTACAATTGTCTAAAACCGAAAATCAGAAATCAAAGTCATTGGCTTGACATGACAAAGTCATTGATTTGACATGCATATATCCTCATAACAGTGTTTACCGCATGACTTTAGTAAAAACAACAATAATAGCTCTGCCTTAAAAAAAAACAAAGCTTTTAAACGAAAACCTCTAACCAAAATACTTCCAACATTTGTAAGCCGCAAAGCACACGAAAATCAAGAGACCTTGAAAAAAAGAGAAAATGAAGCATACGAAAGCATCCTTCCTTCTATTTGACCTCCTTCCGAAACCAAAACCTCCCTCATCTTCCAGAAAAGAAAAAAAAAACAACAAGTAAATAAAACAAAAAAAAGTCATCTCCATTCAACCTATATTCACTTTCGTTACGCTTGCCTAACTAGGATATGCCCAATTTAATCATCTTGTTCCAGCACCATATATATAAAGGAAGATTTCGAAATCATTCGAATTTCATTTGCAAGAATGTCTTTGGGATTAATATTACCTTTAGCGCTATTAGTGGTTGTTAGGGCTCAAATGCCCCATATGCCACCAATGCCTATGCCAATGCAGCCACCACCACCTTATAACATGTATGGACCTGTTAATCCATATGCAGGTGGAAGTGCCACCAGTGTAATGTATCCTTCTGCACCACAACAAATGCCACCACCACCTATGTCTCCTCCATTACCATATCCACCTGGAACAACCATGTCCTACTCCTCATCTGCATACCCGATTATGTCGGCAGCAGCACCATATCCAACATATGGTGTACCACCACCTTTAATGTATCCTCCACCATATCAGACTTATTCTGGATCTGGACCGACAGGGGACCCATTCACTTCTTCATCAGGGTAAGAATTATTATGTTATTTTCTTTGGTTCCTCAGTTGAAGTTTAATTTTATATATGTAGGTGTTGGGCAAAACTATGGAAACAATTCTGTAATAACTCTATGTAAACTATTTTTCATACGTCGGGAAATGCTTTTTGGACGATTTTACATAGCGACACTGTTAGCATAATTTTAAAGATTTGAATCATGCTTGAGGCTCTCAGAAATCATGTCATTTTTACCCAATGCAATCTTCGGATCGACCAAATTGAGCATTGGGTGCTAATTATTTTTTCGTATGTAAAACTTATCGTCAATTTAAATGGGCTGTGATATTATAATAAGGACGCTATTAAAATTATAGTGGTAATTAAAAAAAATTTTTTTTCTAAATTTTCTGCACTAATTTTGGTCGATGACAAATAACGATGATGATAATAGCATTATATCGGAAGATCTTTCAAATTGTGCCAACAGTTTTGTCATTTTAAATCTTCCAGAAACTAGGGGCTCTTTCGTAAACTGGTTTACCTTCATAATGGTCTGATCGGACTACCTATAAAAAACCGTGTGGAGGCTTTTAGCTGTAGGAGGCGTTGGTCTGGAGCAGTTGGCATCTCTGCAATTGTAAATCTAAAGAAATAGGCTATAAATATTTTTTAGCAAAATTCTGCTTTTAATTAGTCGCCTGTGGCATTTCTATAACTATTACACAGTCTGCTAGATCGTGACAATTACGACAAAAAACTTAAAATTGGTCATTATAATTCTTTTTAAAATAGAAATGGTTGTATTAAAAACTGTTTTCAGGGAATGGAAAAATATTTGTTTCAGATTATGGCCCTTAGTATTTTAGATAAGAAAATTTTTACTAGTAATAACAAACCATATACTTCAATATTATTTTTAATATTAAACCATGCTAAGTAGAGGGTAAATGAGCAAATTGAGTTTTGTCTTGTAAGCCCTTAGTGGTTGCGTCTGTATTTTTTTAAACTGTTAAAAGAACTTGAAGTGCAAATGGACTTCCAATCAGCATATTAATTTTTCCAGGTATTAAGAGATTTTTTTTCCAATTATTTCAAGTGATAGCAAAATATTTGATTTAGCATTCGATATATAATAAATCAGTCCAGAACATTTAAAAATAAATCAAAGACATCTAATATTTAATTATATTACTATATTCATGACCACGGCGCTGAACAGCTGACACAGATCTGAGTTAACGACTATTAATGTTCAACTCCTTAGCCTTGTAATCTTGAAAATTACCCAGAAAGCAAGGAAACTCCAGGATCAAGCATTGGGCAGCCTTCATGAAAGACTTTATTGATGGAACTAACTCGTATTTGTGTTACATGGACAGGAAAATCACTAAAAACTCTCTCGGTTCGCCCGATGGCAATAGGATTCTAACCCAATATCCGTCTACCCCTGAGGATATTTTTACTTAAGCAGTGTGATAGCAGCGAGCCGGGACTAGAATTCGTATCAACCAGTCACAGTTGGGATTCGAACCTGATTCACCTCATTGGGAGATGAATCAGGTTCGGAATCAGGAATCATTATATCTAATAAAACTGTAGTAATACTTTTAAGTAACAGGGGAATTTTAATAACATTTGCTTACTAAATTGTTATTTTACTTTATTAATTGTTATTTTACTTTTACTTTACTAATTGTTATTTTACTTTTACTTTACTAATTGTTATTTTACTTTTACATTACTAATTGTTAGTTTACTTTTACTTTACTAATTGTTATTTTACTTTTACTTTACTAATTGTTAGTTTACTTTTACTTTACTAGTTGCTATTTTGCTAGCTGGAACTTTTTAGTTGGCAGCTTTGTTTTTAACTAATGAAAGAGGCACTAAAATCTACTACAAATCATTTTATACAGCTGATACAGCTATTGCATTTAAACGTATCCATTACACTTAATGGAATTGTCGGGAAAATATCCACGACATATAATCCTACTGTTAATAAATTTGCTACGGATTGTACTTTTATGTTAAGTTTAGCAATCAGAGATGCCAACTTGTCTCGGACAGCAAATATGTATTTTAAAGTGATAGTTTATCAATTGTGATACTTGGTTTAATAAATTCAATTTAATAGATTTTTATCCACCACTATTTATAAATAATTTGTAGGCTTAGATAATTCACCACTTTCTTCAAACTTAGTCATGCTCTAACTTTTCTACTAATTTAGTCATGCTTTAACATTTAAAAAACAAGCAAAAAAAGTCAAATATTTGCAAAATTAAGTTTGCAGTCATTTACAGTTTTTTCTATTCATTTGGCCTGTCCGGAGCAGTTGGCATCTCTGAGCAATCAGCAATTAAACTGTAAATACTCATTTAACACGTTCACGCCGGGGTGACCCACCGGAGGGTCACGCTAGATTGTCTCATCTTGGCAGCACACCGGAATAAAAACTGGTAACAATAAATTTCATTTTTTAGTTTTATTCCGGGAATAATAAAAATCCATAACTACCAATTGTTTTTAACGGATGCAATTTTTATATTGCATTGCTTCTTTGCCGTGATAAATTTCCTTACAGTGAATTGCTTTTGTTGAGAATAGTTTAACTCATCCGGAATATTATCTAATATTGAAATAGTTCTTCTACCAGTATTTTCTCTTTTCCCGGAGTGAACGTGTTAAAGAAAAGACGGAGAATGTCTTATAATAGAAGCTTGTAGCAAACACACTGCGGTATTCTAAGAAAAATTTACTGTCTTGAAAAATTATTATGAACATTAATCATCTTGTTCCAGCACCATATATNCTATGGTTTTATTTTAAAACCAGCATTGATCTGCAGATCCATAACCTCGTCATTTTGACCCCAACTCACAAGATGAGGGAACTCCTTACTGAAGCTTTTTGACTAATTAGCTTTCGTAAAAAAACTCGATGGAATTAACAAGTTCAATTATATCCATAAGGTGTAAATTGTTATATTATAACCTAATTATTTGAGAAGAGTAGATTTTTATGAGCTGTGAAATTTTGTTCAGTTCCTGTAATTTTTAACACTGATCATCAATCATTATTACTAAATTCAATTTTAATCGAAAATAAAACTTGGAGTGGAATGTAGGCGTTACTTACTACCGTATGATCAATAAGCCACCACACGGTATTTTATAGTAGTCTGCGCTAACTCTTTACCAGTTGTGTGCATGAACCCAAATTCTTTTTTTAAGGTTGACTTAGACTGAGAGGAGATTCGAAGTCGCTGCCCGTGGAGCGGGCACTCCTCTTTTTCATATGTTGTAGAGCCCTTGGGCGACTGAGGTCATCACCTCCTACAACAAAAAGCCTCCACACGGTCTTTTATAAGTAGTCCGCGCAGACTATTCAAAAAGTGAACCAGTTGTGCGCATGAACCCAAAACCTTTTATAAAAGTAATTGAAAGAAATTCATCTTATAAATTTGAGAATTGAATCTATAGTGGTTGACAAGTGAATGAGGCAAACTAATATTCATAAATAAAACAAATTTTTAGACATATATTTGCTACCATTTTCTTATTTTAATTAGATTTTGTATTAAGTGACTCGTTCGGAACAGGGGTGAAAGCGAGACGGAAAAGAGGAAAGGCTGGTAGTAAAACCTTTTCAGTTATAGCTAGTTTTAGGGAGGAGTTTACTTATTCTTTCTCCAAATTATTCAGCAATATCTACTTTATCTTGGAAAAAGAAGCAGTTTTATATATGTGCTAAAATTTTAAAAGAAATCTTGATAGTTTCGGATATTTTATTTTTTTCTGGCAGTACAGCCCGTAAAACTGGCCGAGTGATCGCCTTGGCAGTTGATGTACTTGCAGAGATGCCAACTTGCTCCGGACAGCAAATATATATTTTAAAGTGGTAGTTTATCCTTTGTGATTCTTGGATTAATAAATTCAATTTAGTAGATTTCCATCCACCACTATTTCTAAATAATTCGTAGGCTTATACAATTCACCACTTAAAAGTATTCATGTCATGCTATACCGTTTGAAAAGCAAGTAAAAAAAGTGAATTGTTTGCAAAATTTACTCTGTAGTTATTTACCGTTTCTTTAATATTTTTGGCTTGTCCGGAGCAGTTGGCATCTCTGTCATCGCATCATTCGCTTAACTAACACGGTCAACAACAAAAAAACATTGCATTTTTGTTACTTTTCATGGAAGATATTAACCCCTTTGCACTCGAAGACTCTTCTATGGCACCATTAATTATCTGCCACTCTAAATGTTCAAGTTTTTGAATTTTTATGTTCAGTAATCACTTTATTTAATGGCCTCCAATTGTTATATGGTTGTTGTTGTCGCATGCCATTAAAGCAAGGGGTGCGATTGTTCGTGTTCCCAGTGGCGCCATCTATGACCAAGTTTTTTAAATTTCTTTTAAAAAAAAAGCTTGATAGCTTTTGGTTTCCATTTTTCTTTACAGTACACTGTTATTGAGAAGATTTGTAGTCAATCTTTAATACTTTTGTGCAGTTGAATTTCACAAAGAAGAATTCAGCCTAAAGAAATAAAAAGAATATAATGACGATTTTTTTTAAACGCCCACCCAATTGACACTCGTAATTCAGGTATAAGTTGGCCAGATTTTTCTCCCACTGTAAGAGTACAGAGAATGAAAGAACATCCATGCTTTATTCGGGATTCGAACCCAGGACCTTTCTGACGTAAGATCAGCTCTCTGATCACAGGGATGTCACAGGTGACTAAAAATTTAAGAAGTGGTAAAAACTCAATTCCCTTTTGATTTATTTAATCACATAGTCGAAACTACCACCATAACATACTACGTTGTAAATTATTCATATGTAAAGCGAAATTAATGTTACAGTCACCCTCAATTGTAAACTGAAAGAAATAAGCTATGGATATTTTTTAATAAAATTCTGCTTTTAATTAGTTTCTATTTTTTTACATTTTCAGTCTGCTGTGGCATTCCTATGACTATTACACAGTCTGCTAGTTCGATATAATAGTAACAAAAA